GCGGCGACGGCTGCGGCGGCGACGGCGACGGCGGCGGCAGCGGGGTCGGCGACTGCGACAGTGGGGGCGGAGGCACTGGGGAAGGGGGACGCGGCAAGGACGGACCGGGGGTACCACCAGAGTCAGCAGACTCCTCAACGGGGACAACCGACGGGAGGGGAGTGACGTGGGAGACACCAGACGGGGCAGGACGAGGCGGGAGAGGGGCAGGGGCTACCGGGGGAGAGGGAGCAAGGAAAAGGGGGGGGGCAACTGGGAGACCTCGGTGAGGGAAGCGGCGGTAGAAGGAGACGGACTCGTCAAAGGTGACGTCACGAGAGTGGAGGAAGCGGTGAGATGGCGGGTGGTAGAAAAGCCAGTCAGACGAGTCCAGGGGGAAACCGAGGAAGACACAGGGGACAGTGCGGGCAGTGAGCTTGTCCGTGCCAGAGGCACGAACGTGAGCAAGGCAGCCCCAGACGTGGAACGCAGACGCGTCACCGGGGGACCCGGTCCAAAGGAGGGTCGGCGAAACCTGCGGCCGCTGGGAGCGTGGCCACAGGTTAAGCTGGTGAGCCGCGTAGCGAACAGCGAACGGCCACAGAAAATGGGGGGCATCGGCATGGATCATGGAGGTACGGGCGACCTCCATGACCAAGCCGATGCGGCGCTCAGCAACCCCATTCTGCTGTGGCGAGTCCGGCAAGGTGTACGACTGGGTGATGCCCTCCGCACGACAGAACTGTCCAAGCCGACCAGAGGCGAACTCGCCGCCACGGTCGGAGTGGAGACACAACACGGGGAGACCGCGGTGGAGACGCGCAGCTACAACCCACGGGAGAAGAACGTCGGGCACGTCGGCCTTCCGCTCCAGGGGAAACACCGTGGTGTAGCGCGTGTAGTCGTCAACGAGCACAAGGAAGTAGCGCTCACCGCGCGGTCCGGGGACGGGGGCAGGGCCCCAAACGTCCAAGTGCAGGGTCTGAAGGGGGGCAGTAGCAGGACGCAGCGAGGAGGAGTGAGGAGCACGGCGGAGCCGACCCTCGACGCAAGGCGTGCACGGTGGCGCAGTCGAGGGAGGAAGGGCAGGGAGCGACGCGGGGAGACCTAAGACAAGACCGTGCTGGGACATGTGACGCAGACGCGGGAGAGCAGGGTGACCTAAGCGGTGGTGCCAGAGAAGGGACGGGTGAGTGAGGGACCGACACGAGCAAGCTGCAGCGACCTGGGAGGACGCACCAACCGGGGGGGAAGCGGTGTGTAGGGTAAACAGACCGGACACCGGGTCCCGGGGGAACGTCGCAAGGGGGGAACCTGAGACAGCCTCAGAACAGACAGCGAACCGCTCGTGCCCGGGGAACGTGGTGGTGACTCCGAGGTCCTGGAGACAGCCGACACCAACCAGGTTCCTGGAGAACGAGGGAACGTGGAGGCCAGTAAGGGAGCCCGAGGGAACTGCCGGACAGGGAAGGGACGTAGAACTGCGCGCGACGACCGGACCCGCAGAGGGGTCAGCGAGAGAGACAACAGCAGGTGCAGCAAGCGGCGTGAGCGTGGAACGGTCGCGGAAGAAGCAGGCAGAAGCACCAGAGTCGAGAGTGAAGGACAGCGACGCAGTGGCGGAGGCCGCGGACGGAGCCGGTGCAGCGACTAGACTAGGCAACCTAGGCAGTCCTACGCCTGTCGCAGCAGGGGAAGCTAAGCTACACAAGGGTGAAACACCTAAACTAGAGTACACATGGTAGTAAGATCCATCAACACTAGAAGCGTCAGCATACAAAGCATGCAAAGCAGCACCTATCTGATCCATGTCTAACTCAAAGATCGGCACGCCCTGGCGGAGCAGGCTGTGCCAGTCAGGGAGGTCCGGGGCCGGGCCAAAGCGACGACGAAAAAGATCGTCGAGGCGGCGGAAACAGTGGGCGGTCGGGTGCGGGCGGCGGCACAGAGTGCCGCGGAGAGGCCCGGTCTGAAGCTGGTACTGGCAGGTCACAGCACTGGAGCCGCTGGTAGACGCCAAGCTGCGCGGGCCGCCACCACGGCCACCGCCTCCGGAGGTGCCGGGCCAACCAGGCGGGAGACGAGCCCACGGCTGCGGCGGGTGCTGCTGGGACGGCGGCTGCGGCTGGGGCTGGTCCTGCTGCTGCTGGGACTGCTGCTCCTGCCCACCGGTGGTAGTCCCCTCAGGCGGACTACCGTCACCACCACCACGACCACTACCACCTGCGTCACCACCCCTACCTCCCTGGCGGCCACGGCCACCGCGACGCGAGCGCTGCTGCGGGTGGACAGCAGCAGCCGTCTCGGTAAGAGGGGTCGCCGTGGCGACCGCAGCCGAAACGTCAGTGAACGTGCACGGGGATGGGGCACAACCGTGAAAGATAGAGACTGCCGGCGCACCGCTCGACTGAGCGATAGTGCGCTGGCGAGTCTCGATCTCAGTGAGGGTGTCGACAAAGGCGGTCAGGGTGAGGTCACCCGGGTGCTGGCTAAGAAAGTGGTCGCGAGCACTAGCGAGGCGGTCTGGCAGGCGCATAGCGATAAAATAGAGCGTCATGCAGAAAGGAGGGGGGAGCGCAGTGAGCTGGGCAGCAGTGCTGGCAGTGCGATAGCGAGTCTCTAGGGCACGCAAATGAGTGGCAAAATCTGCGACAGTAGGGAAGGCAGCCAGGTCTGGGAACAGCATCGGAAAGAGCAAGCGGCCAGCAGAAGCGGAGGCAGGGGTGGAATAGCGAGCAATAACGGCGTCTAAATAAGTTTTGGCCGTTTCAACAGTAGCAAAACGCGAGCGCTCAGACACAGGGAGGGCGTGACTAATAGCAACCTGAGCTACTGCATCGCGTGAGTCCCAGACCGCACAGGCTAGCGCAGCAGTAGAGAAAGCCTCACGGTCATCAGAGGAGGGGTCAGCAGGGAGGGGAGTAGGTGCAGGGGGACGGGGGAGCAAGCCATCAGCATGGACAACCAGAGAGTGGCCATCCTGGCGCTGACCTGTAAGCTGGCGGCGAAGATCGGAGAGCCAGGCGGCGAAGTCAACCGCGTGGCCCTCAGCGTCCAGGCGGAGCACAAAGTCAGCCATCGTGCAGGGTCAGCGGCACAGCTCCTCAGCGACACAGCGGCACAGCAGCACAGCTCCTCAGCGGCACAGGAGCACAGCGGCGCGGGGACACGGCGGCAGCACTCTCCAGTAGGGCAGCAGCTAGGCGTCCCAGCGCAGGCAAGCAGAAGACACAGGGCCCGAGAGGACACGGCAGGCCGAGCAGGGGAGGCGGGCAGGTGCTCTAGGGCCGGGCTGGTGCTGGGAGGGGCCAAGCGGCACTAGGAGGAGGCCGGGCGGCACTAGGAGGAGGCCGGGCGGCACTAGGAGGAGGCCGAGCGGCACTAGGAGGAGGCCAGGCGGGCGAGCGCTAACAGCAGGCGCGACAGGGGCCAGCGGGCGCGACGGGGCCTAAGGGGCGCGACGGGGCCCAGCGGGCACGACGGGGCCCAGGGGGGGCGCGACGGGGCCGCGGAGGCGCGACGGGGACCAGCGGGCACGACGGGGCCCAGGGGGGCCGCGACGGGGCCTAACGGGCGCGACGGGGCCCAGGGGGGGCGCGACGGGGCCTAGCAGGCGCGACGGGGCCTAGGAAGCGCGAAGGGGCCCAGCGGGCGCGACGGGGCCTAGGAGGGGCGCGACGGGGCCGAACGGGCGCGACGGGGCCCAGAGAGGGGGGACGCGATGGGGCTTAGGAGGCGCGACGATGCCTAGGAGGCACGACGGGGCTCAGCGGGCTCGACGGGGCCCATGGGGGGCGCGACGGGGCCTAGGAGGCGCAACGGGGCCCAGCGGGGGCGCGTTAGGGCCTAGGGGTCGCGACGGGACCCAGTGGGCGCGACGGGGCCCAGGGGGAGCGCGACGGGGCCTAGGAGGCGCGACGGGGCCCAGCGGGCACGACGGGGCCCAGGGGGGGCGCGACGGGGCCTAACGAGCGCGACGGGGCCTAGGAGGCGCGACGGGCGGAAGCGGTAGGCGGGGGGATCCTAACCTAAGCTCTGATACCATGTTAACGTAGAAACGAATGATTACTAGAGGTGGAAACCTAGAACAAATACTAGTTGGTTGTACTCACTAGAAGCATACCTCAGTCTAGCCTATAACTTCTACATAGATAATATGTATAAGTTGACATCATTACCTGTACAGTACCAACCTTCGAAAAAATTGGTGAAGTCCCCAATCGCTAGAGACATGCCCCACACACCCCACAACCCCTAAAAATTTTCGGCCAAGTCCCCGAACCCTAGAGACAACCCCCACCCCACACCCCACAACCCATATAAAATTTCGGCGAAGTCCCGGAACGCTAGAGACATCCCCCACACACCCCACAACCCACCCTAAATTTCGACTAAGTCATGTTGTCAGATACAGTCCTCCCTAACACCTGGAACAACCCAGAAGTTTTGAACGAGACTTTAACTTTTTTTTTAAACTGCATTGAAATGAGAGTAATTTCCGCATTTTTAACATAGGGAAATTCTCGCCAGTTGCCCGTTTGGTCAACTGAAAGTCTAACAAAATGTAACGGTCACGATCGTTTGCGATCGTTTCGACGTATATCAATCGTTCGATGTTATGTAGTGATTAACGTCCAAGATTTCCCAACCGGGGCGCTGCAAGGGCGCGAAATTTCTCCCACCGTCCTATTCCCCAGCTTCCCCCTTCCCTGCCGTTTCGATTCCCCCCTTCCCCTCCATTTTCGCTTCCCCCCTCCCCTCCGTTTCGATCACTTCCCTCTTCCCCTCCGTTTCGCTTCCCCCATCCTCTCCGTTTCGACCGCCCCCCCCCTTTCCCCCCCTCCCCTCCGTTTCGCTTCCCCCCTCCCCTCCATTTTGATTCCCTCCCCATTTCCCCGTCAGTTTCGATTCACCCTCTCCTCAGTTTCGATTTCCGTGGCAGTGCGATTTTACCCCCTCGGTTTTTAGGAATGAAATCCCCGTTTCCCACATTAAACAACTATGCAAAACAAGGGTATGACAAGGTCGCTGGTTGGGGGGGGCGCGGGCTGTAGGAGGATTTTTAATGCTGCAAGGGATTTAGCCGATTTTTTGGGAGGTGTAGGAGGGAGGGATGTTTCTCGCTGTGGGGGTGTTTCCCGTGTGTGACTCTGGTTGTACGTCCTGGACCCTGAAAAAATCAGACTCGCTGAGTTTTGGACCCTGACATTTCAGACTACAAAAATTTCGGCTGAAGGCCCTTCAGACTATTTTTTTTTTTGGGGGGGTTGGCTCAGAGTGCCTTTTTTTGAAACGTCAGCCCTGGTTGAGAGCGGTGAGAGAGCCTCAATCGCCCCTCGAAATTCGAAGGGAAGGGCACGGGGGGCTGCGCCACATCAGCGCAGTGTTGAGCGGTGACAGCAAGTTGAACGGCGACTTCAGCTGACCCGGCTCATTCGGCGATGAGCCTCCTACTCTCCTTAGATTTCTGGCAAGTCAAGGGGTGAAGGCAGGGGGGCCTGCGCCACATCAAAAATCCGGGCAGTGTTGAGCGGCGACAGCATGTTGAATGGCGACTGCAGCTGAGCTGGCGAGTCCCGCGCCATCGGCCACCTGGCGTTCCCCCGGCCAATCACGATGTGGGGCGACTCCCGAGGGAGCGAGGGGAGCCACATGGGCGTGGGGAGGGGCCCTTGCATGAGCGCCGAGGGGAGCGCGCCGTTATACCCCGAAAAAGGGTTTTGGGAACTCCCGGATGTGCCACCATCCCCAGAGGAACCGTCCACGGATGCCCATGCGGTGGGATTGGACTGGGCGTCTCTCGGCTTGATATCGATGCTCGGCTGGCTGTCTGACTCGTCCTCCCCACAGTTCCCGTTCCCGTTCACGTTCCCGGTCAGATTCCCAGAACCTTCTCGCCCTGCGCATTGGGTGACAGCCTCTTGCTCCTGTTTCATGCCTGCTCGTTCTGCAGCCCCCCCCTGTGCGGCTCCCCCTGGTGCACCTCCTCCTGCTCTATCCTCTTCGCTTGCTGCTTTGGACCCGCCTTGGCTGTTTGCCTGATCAGTGTTAGCACATGCGGCAACTCGTCTGTCTGTTGCCGGTATACTAGCACCACAACCACCACCACTGCCATCCGCCTCTCCTTCCGAGAGTTTCTGCTTCTCCTGCTGCTGTGCTGCCTGTTGTTGCTGCAACTGCTTGTTTGCGGCCAAACCATTGGCAGACACACCAAGCCCTGGGCGTGCTTCGTGCCGCTCGTTCTTTTCTGCGACCCTTGCTTGCTGGTTCTGCAAGGGGATGTGAGAAGCAGAGGCAGCCGACGAAGCAGCAGCCGCAGCGGCAGTCGAGGCAGCAGCCGGAACAGCAACAGCAGCAGAAGCAGCAGCACAGACAGTTCCACCATCCTTTTCCTCTGTCAATCCTTTCGCTCCTCCACACCCATCTCTCTCACCGCAGCCCGCACCCTTCCCCTGCTCCCCCCTTCCAAAACCCGACAGAAAATCGCGACTGCCTTGCTCCCCTTGCTGCTTGTTCCCCTGCTCTTGCTTGTGCTCCTGCTGCCTCTCCCCCCCATTCTCTGCTCCCCTCTTCCCTGCCGCCTCGTCACTGTGACCCATTCCGCCCTTGTCGCTGCCAGGAGACGGGAACCCCTCAGAGAAATCCTCGTCTATGGGCTCGTGGCTGTGGCTGGCACTAGCTTCCACCTCCCCAGGAGCAGCAGCTGCAGCAGTAGCAGGGGCACCAACACCGCCAACACTCACAGCTGAACCTGCAGCAGCAGCAGCGGCAGCAGCAGGACGTGCAGGGAGAAGGTTGACTGTATTGGAAGGTGCTACTACCACTGCTGCTCCAGCACTGGGCCCACCACTTGTGCCACTGGTGCCAACAGTGGCAGCAGGAGCAGCAGCAGATGGGGGTGCAGGAAGCGCAGGGGCAGGAGCTGCAGCCGGAGCAAGGAAAGATAGCGGAGAGGGCGCAGCAGCAGCAAGCGCACCAGCAGCAGCACCACCACCACCACCACCAGCACCAGCAGCACCAGGAGCCCCGATAACACCACCAGCACCACTGCCAGCAGCAGCAGCGAGGGCAGCAGCAGCAGCGGGAGCAGGGAGGGTGGCAGCGGCGTCGACGGGCCCGTCGTGAATGATGGTGATGGTGACGGGGCGGGGCGGCGGCTTGGAATGGTTGTGCTCGCCCACGTACTTGATGCGCCAGTTGGCCGGGTTGTCGTTGCAGCGCTCCGCCCATTTCTTGGCGGGGCACACCTGCGCCCCAGTAGTTTTGTGCGCACAGCGGAAGTAACTCCTGAGAGGACCGGGAGGGGATCGGGGGGGGGAAGGGGATAGGGGGGGGGAAGGGGATAGGGGGGGGAGGGGATAGGGGGGTGGGGGAGGGGAGGGGAGGTGCTCAAGAAAGCTGGAAAGGGCAGGCGGCGGCTTGGGGTGGTTGTGCTCTCAGACTTGTTTGATGCACCAGTTGGTCGGGTTGTCAAGACGGCGACGACATGGGAGCATGCCAAAACAGCGACGCCATGGGAGCATGGCAGTGCACCAAGTGCATCAGAACGCACCTGGGGTAGGTCTGGCCGAGAGTGACCTTCTGCCCGTACTTGCGCCACTCCCACCCGTCCAAAGGCATCTCTGGCGCATTCGGCTTGGAGGACGGCATGCGCGGCCTGCGAGGGGGGAGTGGAAGGGAAAGCGAAGGGAGGTGGGGGTGGTGATTGGGGGGGTGAAAGGGGGGTGGTGGAGAGGGTGGGGGAGGGGAGAGGGGGGGTCATGGGGGTGACGGGGAGCGAGGGACTCAAAAGGGGCGGCAAAAAAGAGAGGGGAACAGAGGAGAGGGGAACAGAGGAGAGGGGACTGCCAATGAAGCGCGCATATTCAAACGCCCTTGCTTTCACAAACCATACCGACCGACCGATCACCACGCACCTTTTATGCAGCACGGCCCCTTCCTCACCCTCGTCCTCTGCGCCTTCCCCCCCACCGCCATTGGCAGCAGCAGCCGCAGCAGCACTCCTCTTCGTCCCCCCACCATTCCCACCCCCTGCGCCTGCTTTTGCCCCCTCCGCATCTCCCCGCTCACCCGCGCCCTTCCCCACATCCTTCCCCCCGCCCCCGCCCCCTCCGGCCCCGCTCCACCCCTGGAACCCCCGCCCTTCCGCGCCCTGCTGGTTCCCCCCACCTCCTTTCCGCTGCAGTGGGTTCTGGGGATGCGCTTTTTGCGCCGCCTCAGAGGGGGGATGCGGGGGATGCGCCTTCTGACACCCCGCCTCGACTCCAAAAGGTGGTTTGTGCGCCCCCGCCTCAGAACCCAACAGCGATTTCTGATTCGCTTCAAACCCCGCGGCATGTTGCTGCCCCGCACCTCCCGCCGTCCCCCCCCCTCCCGCAGGAATCCACGCGCTCGCTCCCCCACGCCCCCCCTCCTTGCCTTCCGCGGACATGGGCGCAGGGGCAGGGGGCGCGGGGGACCCCATTCCGCCAATGCTTCCCCTTCCGCCCATGCTTCCCCCCATGCCCGGGGAAGGGTGCATGCTGCTGTTACTACTGCCCTGGCGCGGCCAGAACGCGAGCCCGTGGGGGGACATCCACATAGGAGGGGGAACCGGGGGGCCGAAGTTCCGCCCTTCCGCTCCGCCTGCCGCCGCCGAGCCTCCACCACCGGAGCTGCTCATACCATCCGCGTCCGAACTTGCACCGGGAGCAGATCCGGGCGGGGGAAACGGCGGGTGCGCGGAGCCAGGAGGGCGGAAGACGCCGGGCGGGGGAAGGACCCCGGGGGGCGGTAGGGGGAACATTCCGGGCGGGAAGGGCATCATTCCGTGGGGGTTCATCCCGGGGTGGTTCATTCCGGGGTTCATTCCGTGGTTCAGTTGCTGCAGCACGGAAGCAACGACGTCCCCCATGCTCCGGTCCGACCCCAGGTTCATTTCGCCCAGCATCCGCAGGTGCAGACCCATTTCCTCGGGCGTGGGTCGCCCCGACGCTCCCGCGGCCACTGCTGCGCGGAACGCGGCGGAAGCTGCAGCGGCGGCGGCATTGGCGGAGGCTGCCGCGTCGGCTCCGCCCCCGTTACCCGCGGCGGTGGGAGGAGCGGGAGGAGCGGCGTTGGGCGCAGCAGCGGAAGGGACGGCGGAAAGGGCGGGCGAGGTGGGAATGGCGGAGGGTTGCCCGTGATGGTCGGCAGCGGTGAGAGATATGTCGTCGCCATTCTGACGAGGGCTGCTATCTCCGTGCTGCTGCTGCTGCTGCTGCTGCTGCTGCTGATGGCTCTGATGCTGATGATTATTCTGCTGCGGGTCGTACGAGTTGTCCTGGTGGTCCACGTGTTGCTCCTGACCGGAGTGCGAGCCCGGAGGCGATGCCACGTCAGCAGGAGGAGATTCCGAGTCCGGGTTCGGCGGGCCGAGGAGCGCTTGGCAGCTTCCGAGGGCCTCCATTGCTGATTGGACAAGATCTTGTGCTTCTGCCACGTCACTGGGGAATCGTAGGGGATAACGGGGAAGGAAACCAATGAACCCCTGAAAGGGACAATAGACGAGAAGAGGAGGCGAGTTTTGAGGCGCCTCAAAAAAGGAAACCAATGAACCCCTGAAAGGGACAGGACAATAGACGAGAAGAGGAGGCGAGTTTTGAGGCGCCTCAAAAAAGGAAACCAATGAACCCCTGAAAGGGACAGGACAATAGACGAGAAGAGGAGGCGAGTGATAAGAGGAGGGAACAAAGCGGAAGAAATAGAAAGACTCGGTTCGTCAAAATCCCGCGGCCAGAGGAGACAAATGTCAAGACTCCAAAGAAGTATTTGACGATCGTAAACGGAACCGTTAGAAACCGAAAAACCAGGAGACGAAAAAGACGACGACGAGGACTCCTCGATTTTCAGAAAAATAGAAAGTCGCATCGTCTAAAAACATCGAGCGACGATAAGAAATTCCCGAATCGGAGCTTCAAATGCAAAATAACTGCTCACCGGCTGAGGCTCTCGTCAAACTCTGGCTCCGCTTCAGAACGTTTGGCCGAGAGAGAGAGAGAGAGAGAGAGAGAGAGAGAGAGAGAGAGAGAGAGAGAGAGAGAGAGAGAGAGAGAGAGAGAGAGAGAGAGAGAGAGAGAGAGAGAGAGAGAGAGAGAGAGAGAGAGAGAGAGAGAGAGAGAGAGAGAGAGAGAGAGAGAGAGAGAGAGAGAGAGAGAAAAGGCGAGAACGTTACAGAAGAAAAGGCTGCTTACCGGCTGAGGCTCTCGTCGAAGTCTGGATCCGCTTGGCCCGCGGATCGTTTCGCCATCTCGACGCGCAGGTACATGGTGTCGGCGTGCTTCATGAGCACCTTGGCGTTCGAGTGCGCTAGCTTCGTCGCGTCTAGAAGCTTCTTGCACAGCGTACTTAACGACTCCAATTGCGTCTCCATCGTCGGAGCGTCGATCGACTCACCGGACATTAAAACCCGAGGTCCACTTTTGTCCAGTTTCTTCTACAGGAGACTAAGACACTCGCGTTATTTCCAAGATACCTCTATCGTGGCTCGGGAGGATATTCCGTCGCAAGTTGCGATTAAATCGCGGTTCCCGGACGTCAAAAGACTCCTCCAAACTTTTCCGCGATTTGGATTGGCCCTGATCCAATTTGTCACGCGACTATTACTATTCAGCGTGAAGACAAACAAAACCGTCCTAGCAATTATGACTGTTGAAGCTTAATTGGCTGTCCGATGGCAAAAGAAAGGAGATTTTGAGGCATAAGATACTTGTGGGAAACGACAGACGAAGCGGAGCAGAAACGCCAGACGCACGTGACGCACCGAAAATTAAGCCGAAAAACCACTGTTCAAAAAGTGGTAGGGAAAAAGGTAATTCAACTGTCGAAATCCAACTTTATACTTCCAGACCGCTACGCGAGGCGCCATAATTCCTGCAAGCGGAAGCGCAAATCCAAGGTCAGTAACCACGGTCCACGGCACAGGAGAGCAATCGCTAGGAAGGCAGATGGCCGAGAATTGGAAAAGCAAGCAGAAACAAGCACAGAGCAGATTGAGTCAAGTCGTTCTTCTAGTGTCTCGGCCTCCGCGGGCGGTCAAAGACGTTCGTTGAGGGTTTGGTGGAGTACCTCCCAGCCAGCCTCCTGGTCCGTCCGATCCTTGAGCCCATCCGATCCTTGGATCACTCCTCCATCTCCCCTCCCCCATCGGTTGGCCTCCCCTCTCCCTGGGTCTTCCCCCCCTCTCCACTCCAGCTCCCCCAAGTCTCCCCTCCCATCACTTCAGGTCCAGCTCAGGGCCCATTTGCTCACACCCACGTGCCTCCAGCCAAACCAAACCTGCCTCCCCTTGGCACCCAGAAACCCTCCCCATACCCGTTCCAACCACACTCCATCTCATCCCAATCTTCTAGGCCGCAATACACCATGGCTCCAGATGTTCAGACTTTCAAGATTTGAGTTTCGACACCAGCCGTTCCGGGCGTGATGTGTGGCGTGTTTGGTTCAGTAGGTACACCTAGCCCGCGGTATTTTCACTTCAGTATTTTCTCTGGGGGTGTCGCTGAGAGGGTATTCACCCCCCGAAAGCAGCTCCTGAAGACCAGATCCGGATACCCTTGAAAAACAATCAGAGCTTGGGTTTCTCTACAAAAAAGTTTACTGCTCGATTTAGTGTTTCTCGAGTCAGGAAATCCGACGTCAGCTTAGGCAGTGCGCAAAGTTTTCCCGTGTGGAGTCTGCCAAGCTTAGGCCGTAGGAACAAGGAGGTACTGTCTACGCACTCAGAAATGGTCAGGGTGGAAACAAAAGTTTTTCTGCCGCCCAGTTTCAGGGTGTGAAATTACCGCGGGCTAGGTGCACCAAGGGCAGGCGCCAGTCTCTCACACCCTGCTGCGTCATGTGCGGAAAACAGATTTGGGCGGCTCTCGATGTTGCGAAGCATTCGTCGATGCAGGTGCAAGAACGGCTGAGATCTCATGAATTTTAAATCGTGGTGAGCAGCAAACTGTTCTCGACTGTGGGTAGGTTAGTGCGATTTCGATCGACGGCTTAGATTGATTGACAAGAGATTGCTGAAGAGTGACGATGTGCTTGTTGGTTTTCAGGATGAGGGTTTGGTTGACAGAACCACCGCCGCAGAGTCCAACAGAGCCCAGAAAGTCCGTGCGGTTTGGGGAGGTAGGGAATGGCGTAGCCACGAAACTCGAGAGTGTATGGAAAATCATGGGCTATCCCCAAGTACACCTAGCTCCAGAAAATATTTTTCATTCGCGCTTTTATTCTGTAACCTTCATGCTCGGGTGTGGATAAGGTGCACACTGCACCCGTGTAGAAACTAGAGTTCCCAGTGTCTATCATCCATTTGGGTGAATGGAGTATGAGGTCATATGAATCAAGAAATACTCCGTCATATGCACCCTAGAAGATCGCCAGACAAATCTCCTAGGCCCTGGCCTTTTCTGGCGTGAAAGGGCAGGGCCATTCTTCACGACAAGCCTCCTGCCAAAGCTCGGAGTCTGGCTTGTCGAACCTCGAAGTGCTGCTTCGACAGTCCTCCGAGCCAACTGTGGGTGCTTTGATGGACCGAATTGCGTGCATGCATGTGTCCTTGTTTTTAGGCAAGGAGGGTACTATCAGGGCTGGAGCTCAACGCGAATGACATCAGCAGCACTGCTGGTGCAACGGAGATGACGGAAGCCTCGGGCGGTCAAAATCTTCAACGCCACGGTGTTTCACGTGCCCGCGAAGGACAGCGCATGTCAAGAAAAAATGGCCGAGCCAATTGAAAGTGAGAGCACGCAAGGGACTGCGAATCGAGTGTCGTCGTCAATCCACGAAGCCATGCTGCGGTGTCCTTGTCACTCTTCCGCCCTCCACGTCACCTCTGTGCTCTCGAACCATTTTCTTGAATATATTCCATACAGAGCGCCGCGTTTCCCTATTTCGTAAAATGTGCAGCTATTGCTCTCGGGGGTGTTCGCTGACCAATTTTTCACCGGCACGGCGAGGGAAGTCAGGCATGGGGAACATCGATCGAGGCTTCGTGGGTTCGCCGAACCCAATTTGCGAAACGTGACGTCAGCATGCGAAAACTTCGCATTGGTTCGGTTTCCCCAAACCAATTGCCCCCAAATCGCGTGCTCCTTCTCATGCCAAACCCGAAGCGCGGCCATCAGCCGCCCAGAGCTGCCAGGCAAACTGCGTGCCACACCTCATACTGCAAAATCGTGGTATGAGGCAGGCCAAGATTGGCATGCCTCTTGGCTGGGCAGGTTTACAAACCCAAAAAAAAACCGCAGCCATTTTTCCTTCAATCCTACCCGTCGATTTGCGCAATTGCGCCAGCTCATACCCATCCAATCGGTCACATTTTGAAATGTGAAAAAAATGGGCAGTTTTGACAAAATTGTGTGGATCTCATTTTCTCCGCTAGATTTTCCACGAAAGTGCGATGGGCTAAAAGGGCTTTTGATGGGCCCCACTCTTCACTGTCCGCGAGTTTGTCTTATCCAGTCCTGCAGTCGTGACCGATGTCATCATGAGCCGGCGACATTATGATTACCAAAGTACGGGGGCACACACAAAAAATCACGTAGCTTTGGCTGCGCAGATTCCATGCGCGCGGGATTTGGTCGCCCGTTCCCCTCCCCGTTCCCCTCGGAAAATTGCCAGCGAACGGCCCCCTTATCTTCTTGGCTAATGCATGACATAACGGGACAGAAGCTTTCGGGGATGCACGGTTCCGCGAAGTTGTTGGTTTTCGCTGAGCACCTGATACTTGTCGCCACAGTGCTTGGTCGTGGGGGTCGCCAGCGACCTGTCCCGCGTGCGCTAATTTGTGCGAACGCACGAATTCGGATTGTCGGCATGGCATGCCTCACCCAAAGCCGAAGCGCGTACGTGGTGCTCCAATTTCCCAATTTCCGAATTCGCTCCACGCACCAAATTCTTACTCCCCCCCCCCCAACCCCCGAATTTCCCAATTCCCCATCCAGCGCAAGCATGGCGAAGTCTAGCGGCCACAGATAAACAACCTCAATCGTCACCCAAGGATTCCAGAAAGCCTGGCAAAGAAACTCGCCTCCCGCAGTATGCTCCCGTTGCTCCACGCCTAACGCTTGTGTAATCAGTCTGGTAGTCGAAATTCCACTAATGACCGCAGATCCCAGCTCACAAAGGCAGTCGGCCCTCATGGCTCTCTCGTCTCAGCCCAAACGAGTCCGACACAGATATGGTCCCGACATTCGAAGGAGGCTCGACGCTCTGGGAAACCCCGCACCGACAATGGATCTCCCCCCAGAACCTTCCTTCTTCTCCACCATCACCTCCTGGATCTCGCATCGCCTGCGACCTTCTTCCAACGGCGGTGATACGACCCGTGGAAAATCCCAGCCCTTCTCGAGACGCAGAGCAGATCGGCGCCACGCGGACGGATGCAGCGACGCCGTGTCGCTGCACTCCGTTGGTGACGCTGGGGTCGGTGTTGACGACGACGACGAGCGAAGCGAATGCTCGTCATGGACGTCATATCCACATGCCCCGGCGTCAATTCCCGCTCCAATTCCTACGAAGAGTTCTAAAGCTCCTTCAATTCCTACTAGAAGTAGTGCTCCTGCGGAGCGTCACTCGAATTGGACTCGGTCGAACCGGACGACGGCGAATCACCAGAATCTGCGCTCGTCTAGCGGGCATCTCGCCAAGACGAAGTTCTTCGCATACCCTGCGGCTTCTGCGCGGGTGTACGACGAATCGCTCCTGTCGGACGACGAATCGTTCGCTTATGGCGGCGGTAACCAGCTGCCCGCTTCGCCGACGAGCACAGCTTCGTCAGACAGTGTTTCCTTCGCTGGGAGATAAGGGGGCCATGCGACGTCGTTCGTTCAATAGCCTCAAATCCGACAGTGTGAAGCTGCTAGAGCAACCAAGAACACATGCGTCCTCTGTCCGTGACAGGTCCATGGCAGAACAGCAGCAGCGGGACATTCTGCTGGAATTATAAGATAGCCACAGGAATCCACTTCACGCCATGCCGTTCTTGGGTCTCTTACAGCAATCTTGGTTCTAACAGAGCGGACGTTGGAATGGACAGACACCGGCAATGAGGCTAGTTTTCTTCTGCCTTTTCCTCACATAGCAACAGAGGTCCTACTTTTCCTCGTCATGTGCTCTCGCCCCCCTTTTCCTCGTCGTTGTTCTGTGTTTTTACGTCATGCATAATATACATGGAATGGAAATGAGAAGCAAGATGTTTCACCTCCTTCTTCTACTAAAAATTATTGTAAATGTATGTACACCCGAGTTCGGGCGTGTCATAAGCGTACAGTGGTACACTAGTATCTGAAGCAGCCTCACAGCGTTGCTGACAAGGCAGTTAGGTCAGCAGCAACCAAGTGACCAATAGCGAACCGCAGACAGAAATTCAGGCTACGTGGCTCTCATCGGCTTGGCCAAGCATGAAATGTTGCGCGTAACACTTTCGTTCACACTTGAGAGTAACCATCAGGGTGGTTCGCGTACCGTCGCAAACGTTACAAAATTCAGGAAAATCGAGGCGAAACACGTTCGCCAGCTCTAGTCCATAGGAATACCGCACATAACGTGATCATGCGACCAGGCGAGGCTGATTCATAATCCCCATCATCTCTCGACTCTCGAGTCTCAGCCTCATCGCTAAATACTAGACAAACCTTCTATCTACTAGTCAAATCACCTGATTTCACTTCGTCACGACTCCTTTTTCAGTCACATCCGCTGCATTTACAATGCTCGAGAAGCCTAGGGGCCCAAGTGCGCAAGCTGAGCTTGCGCACGCTAACTGCTCTTCAGCTCGATCTGGAGTTCCGTCAGGTGCTCCTTCAGGTTTTCCTTCAGGTGTCCAGTCACGCGATTTAACCATCCAGCGCTTCCCTCCTAATGCCGAAGGAGGAGCCGGGTGTTCTTCACGAAGAGATTTTCCGTGCGATCCTGGCGCGCCCCGTGACTCTCCTTCGCGCGATTTACTCCTCAGCATAGACGTGCCTCCCAACGCGGTGACCGCATTCGACCCCGCGTTCGACCCCGCGTCCAACGGGGCGCTCCCCTCAGCGTCCTCCATCCCCGAAGCTTCTCTTGCCGAGAATTCTCCATCTTTCAATAGAGAAGCTTCCTCTGAATCTCGCAACCTCGAAGCTTCTAACGAAGCTTCCGCCCCGCTGCTCAAGAAGCCAACCTGGCTGGTCAAGATCCGAGGCGCGCTCACCCCGCGCGAATGGATCACCGTCGGATGCCTCTCCGCCGCGATCTGCGGGCTGCACGTGATTGGCTGGGGCACGCTGGTCGTGTTCGTGGTGCCCGGACATTACGCCTTGGGAGGCGGCGGGGGGACGTTCGGCGTGGGTTTGGGAGTCACGGCGTATACGTTGGGGATGCGGCACGCGTTTGACGCGGACCATATCGCAGGTGCGAATACCTGGGAGAGTGGGCGAGGGAAGAGAGAGAGGGGGGGTGAAGAGAGGAGGAGGGGAGGGGGGAAACACTAACAGGGGTTCTGGTTTAGCCCTTAGAAACTCCTCCCCCCCCTTCTTCACCCCTTCCCCCCCCTTCACTCACTCATCCAACCAGCCATAGACAACATGACTCGCAGGTTCTTAGCAGAGGGGCACAGGACTCTGACTGTAGGGTCGTGGTTCGCCCGCTTCGCCCAGTTCGCTTCGCCCGGTTCTGGTTCTCGTTTGCCCTCAATCACTACTCTTCTCTCCCACTTTACAACACCCACATCCTCCCCCCCCATGCAGCCCTTTCCCCCATCACCTCGTATCCGCCATCACCTCGTATCCGCCATCACCTCGTATCCGCCATCAACTCATATCCCCCGTCAACTCATATCCCCCATCAACTCATATCCCCCGTCAACTCATATCCCCCGTCAACTCATATCCCCGTCAACTCATATCCTCCGTCAACTCATATCCCCCGTCAACTCATATCCCCCGTCAACTCATATCCCCCGTCAACTCATATCCCCGGTCAACTCATATCCCCCGTCAACTCATATCCCCGGTCAACTCATATCCCCCGTCAACTCATATCCCCCGTCAACTCATATCCCCGGTCAACTCATATCCCCCGTCAACTCATATCCCCGGTCAACTCATATCCCCCGTCAACTCATATCCCCCGTCAACTCATATCCTCCGTCAACTCATATCCCCCGTCAACTCATATCCCCCATCAACTCATATCCCCCGTCAACTCATATCCCCCGTCAACTCATATCCCCCGTCAACTCATATCCCCCATCAACTCATATCCCCCGTCAACTCATATCCCCCGTCAACTCATATCCCCCGTCAACTCATATCCTCCGTCAACTCATATCCCCCGTCAACTCATATCCTCCGTCAACTCATATCCTCCGTCAACTCATATCCCCCGTCAACTCATATCCCCCGTCAACTCATATCCTCCGTCAACTCATATCCCCCGTCAACTCATATCCCCCGTCAACTCATACCCCCGGTCAACTCATATCCGCCGTCAACTCATATCCGCCGTCAACTCATATCCCCCGTCAACTGATATCCCCCGTCAACTCATATCTCCCGTCAACTCATATCCCCCGTCAACTCATATCCCCCGTCAACTCATATCCCCCGTCAACTCATATCCCCCGTCAACTCATATCCCCCGTCAACTCATATCCCCCGTCAACTCATATCCCCCGTCAACTCATATCCCCCGTCAACTCATATCCCCCGTCAACTCATATCCCCCGTCAACTCATATCCTCCGTCAACTCATATCCCCCGTCAACTCATATCCCCCGTCAACTCATATCCCCCGTCAACTCATATCCCCCTTCAACTCATATCCCCCGTCAACTCATATCCTCCGTCAACTCATATCCCCCGTCAACTCATATCCCCCGTCAACTCATATCCCCCGTCAACTCATATCCCCCGTCAACTCATATCCCCCGTCAACTCATATCCCCCGTCAACTCATATCCCCCGTCAACTCATATCCCTCCGCCGTCCTCGACCAGCCATTGACAACACGAGATGCAAGTTCCTAGGTGAGGGGTGCAGGACTCTGACAGTGGGGTTCTCGTTTGCCCTCACTCACTACTCTCCAACTTTCCAACACCCTATCCCCCCATCCTCCCCCTCCCCCTCCCCCTCCCCCCACACACACCTCCTTTCCCTGAAAACACGTCGCCCAAGTTCCTAGCAGAGGGGCAGAGGATTCTGACTGTGGGATTTTCATCCCTCACTTTAACACACACCCCCCACCCCCCTGATTTCCCCCCTCTTTCTCTCCCTCTTTACCAACCAGCCATAGACAACACGACGTGCTACTTCCTAGCAGAGGGGCGGAGGATTTTGAGAGTTGGGTTTTGGTTTGCCACTAGTCGCTACTCTCCCTCATCCCCTGTCCCCTCGCCAATTCAACCAGCCATAGACAACACGACACGCAAGTTTCTAGCAGAGGGACGGAGGACTCTGACAGTGGGGTTCTGGTTCGCCCTCGGTCACTCCTCCGTGGTCTTCCTCGCTGCTCTCATCATCGCTGCTGGCTTCAAGGCCTTTGCAGGGCAGGTAAAATGAATTCGGCAGGTAAAATGAATTCGGGCAGGTAAAATGAATTTGGCAGGTAAAATGAATTCGGCAGGTAAAATGAATTCGGCAGGTAAACCACTGGAATGGACCTGGGAGTGATGTGGAGGTGTTCTGGTTCGCCCTCGGTCACTCCTCTGTGGTTTTTGGGTTGCGTAGCAACCCTATACGGTCGTTCTCACTTTTACCTTGCTGCCCTCGTCGCTGCTGCTGGATTCAAGGCCTTCGCTGGGCAGGTGACTGAATCTCGGTCCTGGTTTATGTGTTCAGAAACTATCGTGTATAAAAAGCTTTCATGCCTCAATGCTTCTATGGATATGTATATTACATATATATATATATATATATATGTCTACATATATACATACGTATATCTCATCCACATGCACCAGGTGGAATCGGGCGAGTCTCAGCTGCATGTCATTCTCGGGCTCGTTGGAGCGCTGGTCTCCAGTCTCTTCCTGCTGCTTATAGGCGCCATCAACCTCCTCGTTTTAATCCACCTCGTTAAGGTGCGTGCTAAGTGTTAGAGTGCATCTTTTTTATCTTGGTCCCGCTTCTTCCTGCTGCTTATAGGAGCCATCAACCTCCTCGTTTTAATCCAGGCACCCACCCGTTCAACACCTGTGTCTGACCCCTGTGCCTCCTTGACCCTGTAGGTTTTCCGAGGCATGAGGCAAGGAACGACCAGGGAGGCGGACATGGACGACCTTATCCCTGCAGGGCTGCCGGGATGATTTTCAACTGCTGCCTGGGCTGCCTCGCCTCACTCACAAGGAAACCACCCTTCCAACCCCTGTGTCTGAACCCCTGTGCCTCCTTGATCCCCTAGTATTTCCGAGCCATGTGCAAAGGCACGGCCCGAGAGGCGGATCCAGTAGACATCGTTCTGCAGGGGGACATCTTCAACCAGTGCCCTCCCTTCTCCATCTCTCTTTAACCCCCATCCCTCTTTAACCCCCATCCTTTTAACCCCCATCCCTCTTTAACCCCCGACCAATCAAGGTCTTCCGAGCCATGCACAAAGGCACTGCCGGGGAGGCGGATCTAGAAGACCTCGTGCTGCGGGGGGGCATCTTCAACCGCTGCCTGGGCCGCCTGGTGTTGCTCACAGGGCATACCCTGTGTCCCTCCCACTTCTGTGCCTCCTTGACCCTCTAGGTCTTCCGAGCCATGCGCAAAGGCACGGCCAGGGAGGCGGATCTAGAAGACCTCGTGCTGCAGGGGGGCATCTTCAACCGCTGCCTGGCCCGCCTGGCGGCGCTCATAAGGCACCCGCCCCAGATGTACCTGCTGGGTTTCCTCTTCGGCCTGGGCTTTGATACGGCCACGGAGGTCGCGCTGCTGTTCATGGCTGCTGGGGCCGCCTCGTCTGGGCTGCCCTGGTTCGCCATACTCTGCCTCCCAGTCATCTTTGCTGCAGGTACGACAGTGTCTGCTCATCCACCCAGGGAACATTGCTAGACACGTCTCAAAACAAACCATATACCTTCGGGGCTGCCCTGGTTCGCCATTCTATGCCTGCCGGTCATCTTTGCGGCTGGTGAGCCCCCTACGTTCATTCATTCGCTCATGCATGCATGCATGCTCCCGTCATCGCCCCACCCTTGCCGTTCACACCGCCACGGAGGTCGTGTTGCTGTTCATGCTTGCTGGGGCCGCCTCGACTGTGTTTTGTTCTTTTTTATAATTCTGAAAACCAAAGCACATTCCTTCACACCGCCACGGTGATTTTTGAGTCGACTCAAAGCACATTCCTTCACACCGCCACGGAGGTTGCTGTTCTTGCCTGCTGCGGCCGCCTCGACTGGGCTTTCCTGGTTCGCCATTCTGTGTGTGCCTGCCAGTCAGCTTTGCTGCCAGTCAGCTTTGCTGCCGGTCAGCTTTGCTGCCAGTAAGCGCCCCCATGCTGCCATGCATTGCCGCCGGTAACCACCCCGATGCTATCACGCATTGCCGAGATTAGCCCATGCATGCCCCCGTCAATCCACCCGCCCTGGGCCATGCTCTTCGTCATGCCTGCCGGCGCCATGCTCTTCGTCATGCCTGCCGGAGCCATGCTCTTCGTCATGCCTGCCGGCGCCATGCTCTTCGTCATGCCTGCCGGCGCCATGGTTCTTTCATTTTCTCTCTGCCACTCATCTTTGCTGCTCGTAAGCCCTCCACTCATTCTCTCATGCATGCCCCCATCGCCACACCCTCTGCTTTCTCTCTCTCTCCCTCACACACACACACACACACAGAGGCACACACACACAGGCACACACACACACACACACACCTTCCTCCTCCTCTTCCCTCCCTCCCCCCTTCCCCCAGGTATGACCCTACCAGACGCCATAGATGGGCCATTCGTGGAACTTCCTTCTCACGTGCTCCCATGCCCCCCTCCCACCCCACCCTCCCTCCTACTTCCCACTTCCCTCCCCCCCTCCTCCTTGGTCCCCCACCAGCGATGACCCTGCTGTTCACTAGACCGCTAGACCACTAGACCACTAGACCGCTAGACCACAGACAGGTCATTCATGAACTTGGCATGCAGCTGAGCTGTCTCCTTCTCTTTCTCCCATGCTCCTTGCATTGCCAATAACCCAACCAATCCCCATTCACCTGTGCCTCCGCCATCCCCCCTGGCATGACCCTACTGGACACCATAGACGGCTCATTCATGAACTTTGCAGACAGCTGGGCCTTCTCCTTCTTCCTTCCATCCATGCGTCCCCCATGCACCTCGCCCTGCCTTTGATCCAACCCAATCAACCATGCATTTACGCCGTCCCCCCTCCCCTTCCCCCCAGGCATGACCCTACTGGACACCATAGACGGCTCACTCATGAACTTTGCAGACAGCTGGGCCTTCTCCTTCTTCCTTCCATCCATGCGTCCCCCATGCACCTCGCCCTGCCTTTGATCCAACCCAATCAACCATGCATTTACGCCGTCCCCCCTCCCCTTCCCCCCAGGCATGACCCTACTGGACACCATAGACGGCTCACTCATGAACTTTGCAGACAGCTGGGCCTTCTCCTTCTTCCTTCCATCCATGCGTCCCCCATGCACCTCGCCCTGCCTTTGATCCAACCCAATCAACCATGCATTTACGCCGTCCCCCCTCCCCTTCCCCCCAGGCATGACCCTACTGGACACCATAGACGGCTCATTCATGAACTTTGCAGACAGCTGGGCCTTCTCCTTCTTCCTTCCATCCATGCGTCCCCCATGCACCTCGCCCTGCCTTTGATCCAACCCAATCAACCATGCATTTACGCCGTCCCCCCTCCCCTTCCCCCCAGGCATGACCCTACTGGACACCATAGACGGCTCACTCATGAACTTTGCAGACAGCTGGGCCTTCTCCTTCTTCCTTCCATCCATGCGTCCCCCATGCACCTCGCCCTGCCTTTGATCCAACCCAATCAACCATGCATTTACGCCGTCCCCCCTCCCCTTCCCCCCAGGCATGACCCTACTGGACACCATAGACGGCTCACTCATGAACTTTGCAGACAGCTGGGCCTTCTCCTTCTTCCTTCCATCCATGCGTCCCCCATGCACCTCGCCCTGCCTTTGATCCAACCCAATCAACCATGCATTTACGCCGTCCCCCCTCCCCTTCCCCCCAGGCATGACCCTACTGGACACCATAGACGGCTCACTCATGAACTTTGCAGACAGCTGGGCCTTCTCCTTCTTCCTTCCATCCATGCGTCCCCCATGCACCTCGCCCTGCCTTTGATCCAACCCAATCAACCATGCATTTACGCCGTCCCCCCTCCCCTTCCCCCCAGGCATGACCCTACTGGACACCATAGACGGCTCACTCATGAACTTTGCAGACAGCTGGGCCTTCTCCTTCTTCCTTCCATCCATGCGTCCCCCATGCACCTCGCCCTGCCTTTGATCCAACCCAATCAACCATGCATTTACGCCGTCCCCCCTCCCCTTCCCCCCAGGCATGACCCTACTGGACACCATAGACGGCTCACTCATGAACTTTGCAGACAGCTGGGCCTTCTCCTTCTTCCTTCCATCCATGCGTCCCCCATGCACCTCGCCCTGCCTTTGATCCAACCCAATCAACCATGCATTTACGCCGTCCCCCCTCCCCTTCCCCCCAGGCATGACCCTACTGGACACCATAGACGGCTCATTCATGAACTTTGCAGACAGCTGGGCCTTCTCCTTCTTCCTTCCATCCATGCGTCCCCCATGCACCTCGCCCTGCCTTTGATCCAACCCAATCAACCATGCATTTACGCCGTCCCCCCTCCCCTTCCCCCCAGGCATGACCCTACTGGACACCATAGACGGCTCACTCATGAACTTTGCAGACAGCTGGGCCTTCTCCTTCTTCCTTCCATCCATGCGTCCCCCATGCACCTCGCCCTGCCTTTGATCCAACCCAATCAACCATGCATTTACGCCGTCCCCCCTCCCCTTCCCCCCAGGCATGACCCTACTGGACACCATAGACGGCTCACTCATGAACTTTGCAGACAGCTGGGCCTTCTCCTTCTTCCTTCCATCCATGCGTCCCCCATGCACCTCGCCCTGCCTTTGATCCAACCCAATCAACCATGCATTTACGCCGTCCCCCCTCCCCTTCCCCCCAGGCATGACCCTACTGGACACCATAGACGGCTCACTCATGAACTTTGCAGACAGCTGGGCCTTCTCCTTCTTCCTTCCATCCATGCGTCCCCCATGCACCTCGCCCTGCCTTTGATCCAACCCAATCAACCATGCATTTACGCCGTCCCCCCTCCCCTTCCCCCCAGGCATGACCCTACTGGACACCATAGACGGCTCACTCATGAACTTTGCAGACAGCTGGGCCTTCTCCTTCTTCCTTCCATCCATGCGTCCCCCATGCACCTCGCCCTGCCTTTGATCCAACCCAATCAACCATGCATTTACGCCGTCCCCCCTCCCCTTCCCCCCAGGCATGACCCTACTGGACACCATAGACGGCTCACTCATGAACTTTGCAGACAGCTGGGCCTTCTCCTTCTTCCTTCCATCCATGCGTCCCCCATGCACCTCGCCCTGCCTTTGATCCAACCCAATCAACCATGCATTTACGCCGTCCCCCCTCCCCTTCCCCCCAGGCATGACCCTACTGGACACCATAGACGGCTCACTCATGAACTTTGCAGACAGCTGGGCCTTCTCCTTCTTCCTTCCATCCATGCGTCCCCCATGCACCTCGCCCTGCCTTTGATCCAACCCAATCAACCATGCATTTACGCCGTCCCCCCTCCCCTTCCCCCCAGGCATGACCCTACTGGACACCATAGACGGCTCACTCATGAACTTTGCAGACAGCTGGGCCTTCTCCTTCTTCCTTCCATCCATGCGTCCCCCATGCACCTCGCCCTGCCTTTGATCCAACCCAATCAACCATGCATTTACGCCGTCCCCCCTCCCCTTCCCCCCAGGCATGACCCTACTGGACACCATAGACGGCTCACTCATGAACTTTGCAGACAGCTGGGCCTTCTCCTTCTTCCTTCCATCCATGCGTCCCCCATGCACCTCGCCCTGCCTTTGATCCAACCCAATCAACCATGCATTTACGCCGTCCCCCCTCCCCTTCCCCCCAGGCATGACCCTACTGGACACCATAGACGGCTCACTCATGAACTTTGCAGACAGCTGGGCCTTCTCCTTCTTCCTTCCATCCATGCGTCCCCCATGCACCTCGCCCTGCCTTTGATCCAACCCAATCAACCATGCATTTACGCCGTCCCCCCTCCCCTTCCCCCCAGGCATGACCCTACTGGACACCATAGACGGCTCATTCATGAACTTTGCATACAGCTGGGCCTTTTCCTTCCCCCTAAGAAAGCTTTTCTTCAACATTGTCATCACCGGCTTATCGGTCATGGTGGCGCTGCTTATAGGGGGGATAGAACTACTCCAGGTATTTTCAAGACGAGCCATAAACCACTCTTGCTGCCCATCACTGCTTGTGGCGCTGCTTATAGGGGGGATGGAATCTGCGGAATTGCCTGTTCCATTTGTCATCTCTCGGCAGTTTGTTTCCACACATTAACCCACCCTCCTCCCCCCCCGCTCCCACCCTTCCTTGGCACATACTGAGGGGTGTTCTTGTGAAGGAAGGGGCGTATGCAACCCATGTCATCTCAGTATCTCTTCTCACATGCATCTCTTCTCGCATGCATCTCTTCTCGCATCACCTCGCATTACGTCTCATCCTGTCATTCGCACCCCGTGTCGTCGTCATATCATATCCCCTTATCCCTAAACCCTTATGTCTCATGCATACAATCGTCTTCCCCTTCGTGATGGCAGCTTGTGATTGAGAAGGCGGGATGGGAGGGACAGCCATGGGAGTTCGTAACAGCATTGGACCTTAACATTATTGGATTCGTTATAGTGGGCCTCTTTTTCCTTACATGGCTTGCTTCTCTAGTCGTGTGGCAATTGATGCGGTATGATTCATCACTACCGACGGACCTCTAGTGGTACTGTATTTGCAGTAAATAACATAAGAATATGCCGTCCAAATCTTCAACGCACATGACACTACCGATGAAAACGGTACTTACTGAGTTGTTGCATGGAGCATTCACCGAACGACAACTCTTCTGCCTCCACCAGGCCTGACGTTTCAAAAAAACCCCCCCTGAGCTGTCGAATATAAAAAAAAGTTTACCCTGAGGGCTCAGGTTTCAAAAATTGCCTACCCTGATTTGTAAGGGTTCAGAAATCTGTAACCCTGAAAATCCCAGGGTTCACCGAGCGCGTTCAGGGTTGCCTTCAACACGAGGGGGGAATTAAAAAATGGGGGGAAAAAGGGGAGGGAATCAAACCGAGGGGAGGGGGAGAGCGAAACGGAGGGGAAGGGGGAGGATGGAAACATAGGGGAAGAGAGGAAGCGAAACGGGGAAGGAAAAAGTGGGGGTTGGGGGGTGGGGGAAGTTCGAAATACAGTCGAGGAATGGGAGAAGCGAAACGGAGGGGAAGGGGGGATCGAAACGGAGGGGAAGGGGGGATTGAAACGGAGGGGAAGGGGGGATCGAAACGGAGGGGAAGGGGGGATCGAAACGGAGGGGAAGGGGGGATCGAAACGGAGGGGAAGGGGGGATCGAAACGGAAATGAAGGGGGGATCGAAACGGAGGGGAAGGGGGGATCGAAACGGAGGGGAGGGGGAGTCGAAACCAAGGAAGAAAGGGGGAGGGAATCAAAACCAAGTTGCGAGGGGCGAAACGGAGGGGAGATGGGGGAATCGAAATGGAGGGGGAGGGGGGAAACGAAACGGAGGGGGAGTGGGGGGAGCGAAAATGGAGGGGAGGGAGGAATCGAAGTGGATTGGAGGGGGGAAGCTGGGTAATAGGGCGGTCGGAGAAAATTCGCGCCCTAGCAGCACCCCGGCTGGGAGATCTTGGACGTTGATCAATGTGACCATCTAACGGTTTAAGTATGTCGAAACGATCGCAATCGATCTTGACCGTTACATTTTCATAGGCTTAGCTAATTTTTGTGGCTTGTTAGTGTGTAGGGGGGATGTCTGTACGACACATGACTTAGCCGATTTTTGTGGGTTGCTTGGTGTGTGAGGGAATGTTTGAGGACTTCACCAATTTTTGTAGGTTGTTGCGTGTGGGGGGGAATGTATCTGGAGATTGGGGACTTCGCCTAAATTTCCGCATTTTGAGCCACATGGATGTCGCACTCAGGGTTCGTACGCGTTACTCCCTGAAAACTCAGTGCTGGGATAACGCAAACCCTGAAATTCTCAGTGTTCACAGACATACAACCCTGAAGAGGTTAGGGTTCAAAAAAGCCCAACCCTGAAAATTAAGGGTTGGCCAAAAAAATACCCTGTGAAATCAGGGAATCAGGGTAAAATACCCTGATAACGACAGGCCTGGCCTCCACAATACTCTGTTGTAGTAACCATCAACAATGTACCAGCACTTGGACCAAAGTAGCATGGTAATATTTTTCTTGTGTGCCCCAGGGCGTGGCACAATACAAGTATCGAAGCATGAATGTGCAATATCAAATTGAATGCTATAGTTTTACATGCGACCATTGTGCAAAGGACGTGCACAGTTCAGCACGCCCTTACCATCACCATTTGCCTAGTTGTGAAGCCGCACTCCAATAATGTGTCACTCCTAAAGCAAATCGTATCTGTAGCGTGCATGTTACCTCCCGTGCGCCACTGTACTCGCATGCTACAAACCCCGAACTCCCGATCACGTCCACAGAGCCTTGGTGGAAAAATCATCTGCTTTGCCAAGAGGGGACAGCGAGAAAGGGGGGGAATAGAAGAGGGATGGTGAGCAGCAGCAATGGGGACACCGAAAAACGAATACAAGAGGCAAGGGGGAAGGGGCAAGGGGCAAGGGGCAAGACGGAGGGGGCAAGGGGCAAGGCTGCTCAACTCAGCGCCCTATCAAGACCACTTGTGAGTCGACTCAAAGGCACACACGAGTCACGAGTAGAACCTGTGCTATCCTCATGCTCTGTGGCCGCCACACCCAAAGAGGCAGCCTCCACACACAAGACGCTCTAGAGAGAGGCCTACAAGAAAAGACACTCACCCACATCAGGAGTAGTGTCTGCAACCATGAGCAGCGCTTAAACCATTCTCACACTCTGCAGCTGCCACGCCCACAGCAGCAGCCGCCACACGTCCGGCTTGCAAGAGGACTGAATACTCCCACACGCTGTTTGAAAATGCTGAAAAGGGTCTGAAGGAAAAACCACTCACCCACAGCAGGAGTATCAGCGCTCATCAACAGCACTTGCGCCGTCCGCACGCTCTGCGGCCGCCACGCCCACAGCAGCAGCCGCCACGCGTCCGGCACCCCCCCAACGCGCCACCCCATCTCGCACCCATCCGAGATGCTCGGAACGCACCGCACCACGCGTAACCGCGTTACTGCGTGCCGTAACCGTGGCGCGAGCCAGTGCATGCGCGTGGTGCTGATCCACCCCGAGGGGGAGGAGGGCAGGGAGCGGCGGAGCGAGCGGCGGAAGCGGTCAAACATGTGGAGGGCTGTGTGGTCCGGGTCGGTGTGCCGAACGTACATCCAGGCTCGGAAGTACCGTGCCGAACGGGCGCAGGGTTGGGAGGAAGGTACGGTGGAGGAGGAAGGGTAGGGTGTTAGTAGTGTGCCTAGGGGTTGGGACGCATTGGGAGCGCTGCCAGGCGTGGTGGTTTTGATAGAGGTAAATCTGGAAGAGGAGGAAGAGGAAGAAGAAGAGGAGAAGGAGGAGGAGGATGAAAGGTTGGAAGCTGAAGCTGAAGGTATTGATGGTGGGAAGAAGCATTTCTCCTCCACAACCACCGACAGCCCATCAAACAGGCTCGACTCCAGAACCGTCTTTCCCGCCCCTCCCGTCCTCTTGCTCCTGTCCCGGCCCCCTCTCACCCCCCCCCCCACTTCCACCCCTCCCTCACTCTCCCCCATCCACCACCCCTTGTCCTCCCCCTCCCCCTCATCCCCCTCCCCACCTGCCCCAGTTAACACCTCCATTTCTAGTTCCACCATTAAAAACGGGTGGTATAGCCGCATTAGGAAGGGTAGCTCAGGAGCACGCCTTCCTGGATGTTTCTCCCCGTGTTTGACCACTCCGTGCCGAATCATGAACAGTTGCCCGTCTCGCAGCGACGCCGCCCGCCACAGGTCCTCCACCCGGTTCACCCGCAGGCTCGGGTACTCCTCGGCTCGGCCGAACCACAGCTCCGGCTCTCCCCGAACCTCAGCTTCGGCAATGGCACTGCTATTTCTATCCTTGCTCCCAATTTTCCCACTCCCTACACCAGCACTACCACCACTACCACCACCAGCAGCAGCAGCCGCAGCAGCAGCCGCAGCAGCAGCTTTACCATACTCTGCTAGTGCATCTGGGAGCGTCGCAAGTCGGTCCACAAAGGGCACGAACCGGGCGGCAACAGCCATCCAGGGGATCGGGATCTGGCACAGGGTCCTGTCCCTGACGTGGCAGACAGCTGGCGGGGCAGCGGGGAGCGACTGCCAGGCTGGCAGGTGGCGCATCTGGAAGCGGTTGAAGCCGGCCAATGAGAAGAAGGCGAGGACGAGCTGCGCCTGCTCTGATTGGCCATTGGGAACGAGAAAGCGGGAGGGGGTGTGGATGGGGGTGGTGGTGGTGGTGCTGCTGCTGCTGCTGCTGATGTCATCACTAGCAGCTCTCCCACCTGCCTCTACTCCCTCTCTCCCTCCCCCTGCCCGACCCTCCTCACCACTAGCACCAGCTGTACCCCTCACCTCCATCCCTTCCTCACCCCCCTGAGGATCCGCCCCTTGATGATCAACTGCCTGCGATTCACCCCCCACAGGCTCTGTGGTCCACACGTGACTCCTTAGAGTCGCATCCACGAACCCTCTACACTGCTGCCCCGTTATAATCCCCCACTTGTGCCGCAGAAACACCTGATTGGCCGAGCACACGTCGTCCCCGCTCTGCTTCGCAAAGTAAATCAAATCCCGCGCACCGACGCTCGAAGACGGGTGGTGGTACACCACTATAGACTGCGGCACTAAGTACGACTTGTAGTTAAAATACCGTGTGGTAAGCGCCAGGTCTAAATCCTGCCGGGTATACCCAACCCTAGGGTCGAACAAAACAGCTTCGGAGAGAAACGACTGCCGAACCAGCATGCAGTGATCCTCCACGCCTACTGGAGATTCCCGAGGCTCCAGGAGGCTCGGATCCCGTGTGCCTGCCACGTGGACGTCCTCGATTGGCTGCGGGTAGAGCTTGCCGTCGTTGCTGTAATCGTCGAATAGCATGTCTGAGGCGAAGGCAGCATGGGCTTTAAGGCCCTCCTGCTTTGCTACCGACCCACTGCCCATGCTGCCGCCACCAGTGCCACCCGTAGCACTGCTAGTAGCAGCACCAGTAACACCAGCACCAGTAGCAACAGCAGCACCAGCAGCACCAGCAGCACCAGCAGCAACAGCAGCACCAGCAGCAACAGCAGCAGCAGCAGAAGTGCCTGCAGCCCCTGCAGCAGCACCGGCACCATACGCCACCGCTCCTCGCCCCCCTCCCTTTCCGCCTCCCCCTGCCGCGCCCCCTCTGCTGCTGCCCCCTGCGCGCTGCTTCACCTGCCCCCCCAACCCATCCCCGCCCCACTCCCATATAAACGGCAGGAACACCACCCCCTCTGGGCGCTTCTCAGCGAATCGAAACAGGTGCTGCAGCCAGTTGGGGCGATACGGGAACACGTCAGAGAACACAAAAAGGACGTACTTGGTACGAATTAGCTCTGACGACGCGTTTCGCATTAAGTACCCGCTCGCGTATTGGTCCTCCATCTCTTTAACGAGTATCCTCCGCCCTCCCCGCACCTGCTTCTGCTTCCCCCTCCCCTTCCGCCTCTGCCCCTGATCCTCAAACCCTAATCCCCCGCCGGCAGCTCCCCCCCCTCCCCCTGCGCCTGCCCAGTCCCCCCACATCCCCCGCGCGCCCTCTGCTTGTCTGCGCCTGATGTGCGCGCGCGTGCGCGCGTCCATAGCCCCCGGAATCATGTAAATTACGGGGCACGGGGGGGTGGAGGCTAGGATCGCGTCTAGTTGCGCCGCTGCTGTGCCGAACGTGTGCTTTGCGCTGATCACTATAGTCACATCGCGAGCCAAGCGCTCGTTTAGAGCACGATCCACGTCAGCACTGCCACGTAAGCCCTGGTCTCGGGAGCCAATCAGAGACGCGGACAGGGTTTTTGCGCTCGCCGCGGCTCCTGATTGGTCCGATTTGCCCCCATTCTCCCCCGCTTCCCCCCCTTCTCCGCCCTCATACCCTAGCCGCATTAGCCTCCGCCGTTCCGCCAGGCTCTCCCCCCCGCTGCTGCTCCCCGCGCCCCCCGCTCCGCCTCCGCCCTTCCCCGCTCCGCGCGCCTTTGTCCCCGGATCGGGGGAAGACCAAAGCAGCTGCTGCGCCGACTCCCCCAAATCCCGCCAGCGCGATTTGCGCATGGCCGCTACGAGCAGATCGTCTATCGCTGCGGCCGCGCGCCTAGAATCCCCCCAGAACGCCCTTCCCGCCGATCCCCCCGCGCTGCCGCTACCGCTTCCGCGGCTGCTGCCGAAGCTGATCGCGAACTCGCCCGCCGACGAACCGAATCCCGGACCTCCATCCCCTCCTCCACCTCCTCCTCCCCCCCCGTCCCCCATTGCACCGCCATCTAATCGGATATCAAGCACGGAGTATAGGAACACGCACGCGACACCCACAGCGAGGAATAGAAGCAGGCGGCTCGAGGAGACAGCGGAGGATAGGAGGAGGCAGAGCCGGGGGAGGTAGCGTCTGGGGCGGGTCTTACTGGGGCTTAGAAGCGCGTGGTCAACGCGCGGGGATTGGCGGTGGTGCTGATGGTAGTGGTGCTTGCTGCTCGGCCGGCCGTCCATTGCGGAAGAGAGAGTGAAGGAGGCTCAACCAAGGCTGTCCATTGTGATGGACGAGAGCTTGAGGGCGCGATCAAGGCCGTCCATTCCCTTTCTAAAGGCGACCTTTCAGGAGGCGCGCATCCGACCGTCCAGTGCAGCGATCGAACGCGAGGCAGGTGCGTGTGGTCGCGACTTTTGAGTCGACCCAATGATTGATTTTGGAACGGCCGTCGCTGGTGGGGAGTGTCGTCGTTAGTCTTGAGTGGTTCCGACCAGAGCCGCAAAGGAGATTGAGGATTAGAATGAGAAGAGATGCCTTGGTCCTGCCCGGAAAGCATAGATCCTGGAAGATGGCCTCGAAGTCAAAGTTTGCCGGGATCGCCGACGAAAAATCGCTGAAACCACCTGGATTGTCGACGGATCAGGAATTCGCCTAGTGATGGTTAGTGGCAAGCATATCCGTGCGGTGGGAACATTGGCGCAAAGGCTGTTGGCGCACTATAATCAGAGGCAGTGCGTCAAATTTGATCCCGCAGCTGACGAATGCCCAGCGACTACCTACTAATGTGAGGCTACCAAGGAAGGACAGACCGCAACGGTTCAGCAGCTCACCTAATTGATCACCTGCCAAATCAACCAAGATTCAAAAGACGGCCATGGCTGACCATTGATAACTTCCTCGCTGTTACCAAGCTTTACGGAGATTTCGCAAACGTCGTCAACAAAGTTGAGCATACCGCATGATTGCAACACCAGGCTGCACGACAAACGGGAATTCAGCAGTACAGCTAATCAGCGGATGCGATGCTTTGTGCGACAACATTCAGCTCGCAGACCAACTTCGTCGCAGGCTGCACGGCCACTGAGTCACTGACCAGAAGAGCACTGATAGCGCCATGTGGGTGCTTGGTGGGGAGTGTTGCGAAGAGCAGTGGCGTCGTTCGCGCAGACGCAGGCGAAGGTTACCTGTCGTAACGGAAAGCGAAAGCACCAGAACGAAGCGCAGGTACAAACTGTACGCGCTAGAGTCCGCCGTCCATTCCGGATTAGTCGCCGGGCTCTATCCCACAAGGGTTCATACTCAATCCTAAATGACGCGCACCACTTATAACTCATGAAGGAACCGTTACGTTGAGGGAGCAGAATATGGACAAACAACAATAGCATCCAATATTTTCCACAATTTTGTGCACTCAGGGTTAGCATTTTCCCTATTACTAGTCCTTAATTGGTGTGCCTACATCTTATGCGTAATGCTTCTGAATCTCATGATCCCTCATATATTCAATCTCACATAAATATGTACAAATGGTGCTTATGAAATGCAACATAGAAGCTATCCTCCATGGCCAACAAATTAGACCTGCCTCCATGCTTGAAACACAGCCCTAGTACGCCTTCCCATCCCAATCTATTTCCCTACTTACACCCCTCTCCCTACTACCTTCCCACCCCATCCCTATCCCCTACTTCCTCCTCACCTTCCTCTTCCTTGTAATTCCCCTCTTCCTCTTCCTTGTAATTCCCCTCTTCCTCTTCCTTGTAATTCCCCTCTTCCTCTTCCTCCTCTTCCTCCTCCTCCTCCCCTTCCACCTCTTCTTCCGCTGAATGCGTGGATGGGTGAATGGATGAATGGGTGAGTGGGTGAATCGGTGACTGGGTGAATGGGAGAACGGGTGAGTGGGTTTATGGGTGAACAGGTGAATGGGTGAATGGGTGAATGGGTGAATGCGTGAGTGTGTGAATGGGTAAATGGGTGAGTGGGAGAATGGGTGAATAGGAAAATGGGTGAGTAGGTGAATGGGTGAATGGATGAAAGGGTAAATAGGTGAGTGGGTGAAAGGGTAAATGGTTGAGTAGGTGAATGGATGAATAGGTGAGTGGGTGAATGGATAAGTGAGTGAATGGATACAAGGGTTTATGGGTGAATGGATGAGATGGTTTATGGGTAAATGCATGAATGGGTATATGGGTGAATGGGTGAATGGGAAAATGGGTGAATGGGTAAATGGATGAGTGGGTGAATGGGTGAATAGGTGAATGAGTGAATGGGTGAATGAGTGAGTTGATGAATGGATGAGAGGGTTTATAGGTGAATGGGTGAGGGTTTATGGGTAAGGTGAATAGGTTTATGGGTGAATGTGTAAATGGGTGAATGGATGAATGCGTGAATGGGTGAGTGGGTGAATAGGTGGGTGAATGGGTGAGTGGGTCAACGGGTGATTGGGTTTATGGGTGAACGGGTGAGTGAGTGAATAGGTGAATGGGTGAATGGGAGAACGGGTGAGTGGGTTTATGGGTGAACAGGTGAACGGGTGAATGGGTGAATGGGTGAATGGGTGAGTGGATGAATGGGTGAATTGGTGAGTGGGTGAATAGGTGAATGTGTGAATGGGAGAACGGGTGAGTGGGTTTATGGGTGAACAGGTGAATGGGTGAATGGATGAGTGGGTGAATGGGTGAATGGATGAATGGATGAATGGATGAATGGGTGAGTAGATGAATGAGTGCATGGGTGAGTGTGTGAATGGGTAAATGGGTGAGTGGGAGAATGGGTGAATGGATAAATGGATCAGTGGGTGAATGGGTGAATAGGTGAAAGGGTAAATGGGTGAGTGGGTGAAAGGGTAAGTAGTTGAGTAGGTGAATGGGTGAATATGTGAATGGGTGAATAGGTGAGTGGGTGAATGGATAAGAGGGTTTATGGGTGAATGGATGAGAGGGTTTATAAGTAAATGTGTGAATGGGTATATGGGTGAATGGGAAAATGGGTGAATGGGAAAATGGTTGAATGGGTAAATAGGTGAGTGGGTGAATGGGTGAATGCGTAAATGGGTGAATGGGTGAGTGTGTGAATGGGTGACAGGGTTTATGGATAAGGTGAATGGATTTATGGGTGAATTAGTGAATGGGTGAATGAGAAAATGGGTGAATGTGTAAATGGGTGAGTGGGTGAGTAGGTGAATGGGTGAGTGGGCCAACGGGTGATTGGGTTTATGGGTGAATGGGTGAACGGGTGAGTCGGTGAATGGGTGAATGGGAGAATGGGTGAATGTATGAATGGGTGAGTGGGTGAATAGGTGAATGGGTAAATGGATGAGTGGGTGAGTGGGTGAATGGGCGAATAGGTGCGTGAGTGAGTGGGTGAATGGGTGAGTGGGTGAATGGGTAAATGGGTAAGTTGGTGAATAGATGAATGGGCAAATGGGTGAGTATTTGAATGGGTGAATGGGTTTATGGGTGAATGGGTGAGTGGGTGGGTGGGTGAATGGGTGAGTGGCTGGATGGGTGAGGGGGTGAATGGGTGAATGGGTGAATGGATGAATGGGTAAATGGGTGAGAGGGTAAATGGGTGCGTGAGTGAATGAGTAAATGGGTGAATTGGTAAATGGGTGAGTGGGTGAATGGGGAAATGGGTAAGTGGATGAGTGGGTGAATGGGTAAATGGGTGAATAAGTGAATGGGTAAATGGGTGAGTGGGGGAATAGGTGAATGGGCGAGTTGGTGAGTGGGTGAATGGGTGAGTAGGTGGATGGGTAAATAGGTGAATGGATAAATAGGTGAGTGGGTGAATGGGTGAGTGGGTGATTGGGTGAATGGGTAAATGGGTGAGTGGGTGAATGGTTGAATGGGTAAATGGGTGAGGGGGTGAACGAGTGAGTAGGTGAATCAGTGAATGGGTGAGTGGGTGAACGGGTGAACGGGTTAACGGGTGAATGGGTGAATGGGTAAATGGGTGAGTGATTGAATGGGTGAATGGGTGAGTGGGTGAGTGGGTGAATGGGTGAATGGATAAATAGGTGAGTGGGTGAATGGGTGACTGGGTGAATGGGTAAATGGGTAAATGGGTGATTAGGTGAATGGTTAAATGGGTGAGTGGGGGAATGGGTGAATGGGTGAATGCGACACCCAAGGACACCTAGGGACACCTAGGGACACCTTGGGATAGCTAGGGACACCTAGGGACACCTAGGGACACCTAGGGATACCTAGGGACACCTAGGGACACCTAGGGACACCTAGGGATACCTAGGGACACCTAGGGACAGGTAGGGACAGGTAAGGACAGCTAGGGACAGTTAGGGACAGCTGGGGACACCAAGGGATACCTAGGGACAGCTAGGGACACCTAGGAACAGCTAGGGATACCTAGGGACAGATAGGGACAAATTGGGAGTGCTAGGGACAGCTAGGGACACATAGGAACAGCTAGGGATACCTAGGGACAGATAGGGACAAATTGGGAGTGCTAGGGACAGCTAGGGACACATAGGAACAGCTAGGGATACCTAGGGACAGATAGGGACAAATTGGGAGTGCTAGGGACAGCTAGGGACACATAGGAACAGCTAGGGATACATAGGGACAGATAGGGACAAATTGGGACTGCTAGGGACAGCTAGGGACACATAGGAACAGCTAGGGATACCTAGGGACAAATTGGGACTGCTAGGGACAGCTAGGGACACATAGGAACAGCTAGGGATACCTAGGGACAGATAGGGACAAATTGGGACTGCTAGGGACAGCTAGGGACACATAGGAACAGCTAGGGATACCTAGGGACAGATAGGGACAAATTGGGAGTGCTAGGGACAGCTAGGGGAAGCTTGGGACAGCTAGGGACCGCAAGGGACAGCTGGGGACAGCTAGGGACTCCTAGGGACACCTAAGGACACCTAGGGACACCCAGGGACAGCTACGAACACCTAGGAACACCTAGGGACCGCAAGGAACACCTAGGAACAGCTGGGGACAGCTAGGGACACCTAGGGACACAAAGGAACACCAAGGAACACCTAAGAACACTTAGGGACACCTAGGGACACCTAGGGACCGCAAGGGACAGGTGGAGACAGCTAGGGACACCTAGGGAAACCAAGGGACAGCTAGGGACACCAAGGAACACCTAGGGAAAGCTAAGGACAGCCAGAGACACCTAGGGACACCTAGGGATAGCTAGGAAAACCTAGGGAAACCTAGGGACACCTAGGGTCACCTAGGGTCACCTAGGGTCACCTAGGGTCACCTAGGGTCACCTAGGGTCACCTAGGGTCACCTAGGGTCACCTAGGGTCACCTAGGGTCACCTAGGGTCACCTAGGATCACCTAGGGTCACCTAGGGTCACCTAGGGTCACCTAGGGTCACCTAGAGACTCCTAGGGACAGCTAGGGATACCTAGGGACGCCTAGGGACACGTAGGGACACCTAGATACACCTAGGGACAGCTTGGGACAGCTCGGGACAGCTAGGGACGGCTACGGATAATTAGGAGAACCTAGGGAGACCTATAGACCCGTAGGGACAGCTAGGGACACCTAGGGACAGCTAGGGACAGCTAGGGACAGCTACGGATTCCTAGGGGCACCTAGGGAGAGCTAGAGACAAGTAGGGACAGCTAGGGATACCTAGGGACAGGTAGGGACAGCTAGGGACACCTAGAGACATCTAGGGACTCCTAGGGACAGCTAGGGACACCTAGGGACACCTAGGGACACCTAGGGACAGGTAGCGACACCTAGGGACAGCTAGGAACAGCTAGGGACACGTAGGTACGGATAGAGACAGCTAGGGACACCTAGGGACAGCTAGGGACACCTAGGGACACCTAGGGCCACCTAGGGACACCTAGAGAAAGCTAGGGGCAGCTAGGGACACCTAGGGCCACCTAGGGACACCTAGAGAACGCTAGGGACACCTAGGGACACCTAGGGACACCTAAGGACACTTAGGGACACCTAGGTCACCTAGGGAGAGATAGGGACAGCTAGGGACAGCTAGGGACAGCTAGAAACAGCTAGGGATCGCCCAACCACCCAAGATCACCCAAGCACCCATGACCGCCCAAGCTCCCAAGATCGCCCAAGCACCCAAGATCGCCCAAGCACCCAAGATCGCCCAAGCACCCAAGAGGGCCCACGCACCCAAGATCGCCCAAGCACCCAAGATCGCCCAACCGCCCAAGATCCCCCAACCGCCCAAGATCCCCCAACCGCCCAAGATCCCCCAAGCACCCAAGATCGCCCAAGCACCCAAGATCGCCCAAGCACCCAAGTTCGCCCGGGCACCCAAGATCGCCCAACCACCCAAGATCGCCCAAGCACCCATCATCCTCCAAGCACCCATCATCCCCCAAGCACCCAAGATCGCCCAAGCACCCAAGATCTCCCAACCTCCCAAGATCGCCCAAGCACCCAAGATCCCCCAACCACCCAAGATCGCCCAAGCAACCAACATCGCCCAAGCACCCAAGTTCGCCCAAGCACCCAAGATCGCCCAACCACCCAAGATTGCCCAGCCACCCAAGATCGCCCAACCGCCCAAGATCGCCCAAACCGCCCAATATCGCCCAACTGCCCAATATCGCCCAACCGCCCACGATCCCCCAACTGCCCAAGATTCCCCAACCGCCCAAGATAGCCCAACCCGCCCAAGATAGCCCAACCACCCAAGGTCACGCAACCACCCAAGATCGCTGAACCACCCAAGATCGCCGAAGCACCCAAGATCGCCCAAGCACCCAAGTTTGCCCAAGCACCCAAGATCGCCAAAGCACCCAAGATCGCTCAAGCAACCAAGATCGCCCAAGCATCCAAAATCGCCCAAGCACCCAAGATCGCCCAACCACCCAAGATCGCCAAAGCTCCCAAGATCGCCCAACCACCCAAGATCGCCCGGAAGTGGGGCGTGCGAGACATGGCCTTTCCCCTTAGACCATGGGGAACTGACGAAGCTGGTGAGAACGAGTGGGAGGAAGAGTGATATTGTTTGTTTTACTCTCAAGGATCCCGAAGAATTATTCCGAAGACGTGTCTTCCGAAGATGTGCCCATCCTCGGCGTCTTCCGAAGACACCTTCCGAAGACGCCCCCATCTTTGGCGACTTCCGAAAACACTCCCCTCTTCGTCGTCTTCTGAAGACGCGCCCGTCTTTGGCGTCTTCCGATGACTCCCCCGTCTTCAGCACCTTCCGAAGAAGGGTGTCTTCTGAAGACGCGCCCGTCTTCGGCATCTTCCGAAGACGCGCCCGACTTTGGCCGCTTCCGAAGAAGTGCGTCTTCAGAAGACGCGCCCGTCTTCGGCGGCTTCCGAAGACGCGCCCGTCTTTGGCGGCTTCCAAAGACGCTCCCCTCTTCGGCTTCTTCCGAAGACGCCCCCCTCTTCGGCGTCTTCCGAAGATGCCCCCGTCTTCGCTGTCAACCGAAGACGCCCCCGTGTTTGACGGATTCAGAAGACGCCCCCGTCTTGGCATCTTCGGAAGACGCTCCCATCTTCGGCGACTTCCGAAGACGCGCCCGTCTTTGGCGGCTTCCGAAGACCCTCCCCTCTTCGACTTCTTCTGAAGACGCCCCCCTCTTCGGCGTCTTCCGAAGACGCCCCCATATTTGACAGATTCAAAAGATGCCCCCGTCTTGGCATCTTCGGAAGACGCTCCCATCTTCGGCGACTTCCGAAGACGCGCCCGTCTTCGGTGGCTTCCGAAGACGGCCTCGTCTTCGGCGTCTTCCGAAGACGCCCCCATCTTTGGTGTCAACTGAAGACGCCCCCGTGTTCGGCGTCTTCCGAAGTCGGCCCCGTCTTCGGCGTCAACCGAAGACGCCCCCATCTTCGGTGTCTTCCGAAGACGCCCCCCCCGTCTACGGCGGATTCCGAAGACGCCCACGTCTTGGTGTCTTCGAAAGATGTTCCCATCTTCGGCGATTTCCGAAGACGCGCCCGTCTTCGGCGGCTTCCGAAGAAGGCCCCGTCTTTGGCGTTTTACGAAGACACCCCCGTCTTCGGTGTCAACCAAAGACGCCCCCCTGTTGGGCGTCTTCCGAAGTCGCCCCCGTCTTCAGCGGCTTCCGAAGATGCCCCCATCTTTGACGTCTTCCGAAGCTGGCCCCGTCTTTGGCGACTTCCGAAAACGCCCCCTTTTGGCGTCAACCAAAGACGCCCCCGTCTTCGGCGTCAACCAAAGACGCACCCGTCTTCGGCGTCTTCCGAAGATGCCCCCGTCCTCGGCGGCAAAGACGCTCCCGTCTTCCGTGTCTTTCGAAGACAAATGGGTGAATGGGTGAGTGGGTAAAAAACTGAGTGGGTGAACGGGTGAACGAACGGGTGAACGGGTGAACAACGGGTGAACGGGTGAACAACGGGTGAACGGGTGAACAACGGGTGAACAACAGATGAACAACGGGTGAGCGGGTGAACAGGTGAGCGGGTGAGCGGGTGGTGAGCGGGTGAGCGGGTGGTGAGCGGGTGAGCGGGTGGTGAGCGGGTGAGCGGGTGGGGAGCGGGTGAGCGGGTGGGGAGCGGGTGAGCGGGTGGGGAGCGGGTGAGCGGGTGGGGAGCGGTTGAGCGGGGGGTGAGCGGGTGAGCGGGGGGTGAGCGGGTGAGTGGGGGGTGAGCGGGTGAGTGGGGGGTGAGCGGGTGAGCGGGGGGTGAGTGGGTGAGTGGTGTGAGCGGGTGAACGGCAGGTGAGCGGGTGAGCGGGTGAACGGTGGGTGAGCGGGTGAGCGGGTGAACGGCGGGTGAGCGGGTGAAGGGGTGAAAGGGTGAGCGGGTGAACGGGTGAACGGGTGAGCGGGTGAACGGGTGAATGGGTGAGCGGGTGAACGGGTGAGTGGGTGAATGGGTGAATGGGTGAGCGGGTGAACGGGGAGTGAGCGGGTGAACGGGTGAGCGGGTGAACGGGTGAATGGGTGAGCGGGTGAACGGGTGAATGGGTGAATGGGTGTCCTCCGCCGTCGCCGCCATCGCAGCCGCAGCAGCAGTCGTAGTCGCCGCCGCCGCAGCAGCAGCCGCCGCAGGGGTCCGCCAGCTCTGGGGGTGCGGGCGTTGAGCAGGGTGCTAGTCCCGGGGTTACTGTCGTGGCTTGTTCCGGCCGTCCTGGGGGTGGCACCGGTGCTTGGGAGGGTTCTCGTTCTGGGGGTGCTGGTTCTAGGGGTGTTAGTCCTGGGGTTACTGTCGTGGCTTGTCCCAGCGGTCCTGGGGGTGGCACCGGTGTTGGAGAGGGTTCTCGTTCTACGGGTGTTGGCGTGGAGAGTCCTGGAGGCAGCCGTGGTGCGTTATCCAGCAAGTACATCGGGCATGGGGCTAGTGCTAGAATAACGCAGGCCAATGGTTCTTACAGGGCACAAAGACGCTTCATGGGCCGACGACGCTGAGACGCTCAGATCCTCTCAGGGCTACTGTTTTAGCCTTGGTGCAGGCGCTGTCTCATGAAGGTCCACCCACTCGTCGGCTGTTGCACAGTCTAGCTGCGAGGCTGAGATCTGCGCTGGTGCCATGACGGCACAGGAGCTCCGCTGGCTGAAGTTCCTGCTCAAAGACTTAGGTGAGTGGCCTAGCTTTGCCACAGTCCTATACGCTGACAATCGGGCCATGATCCTTCTGTGTCATGAGCCTCGATTGGAGGGCAGAGCAAAGCACATCCAAGTACGGTACTTCCTCCTGCACAAGCTGCAGCAGCGACGCTAGGCCCGCGTAGTTCACTTGGCCTCCGGTGCCAGCACAGCTGATATCTTTACTACGGTGCTCGCGCCTAAAGATCATCGGCGGCACTGTGTACAACTTGGTCTAGTTCCAGTAGCTCCTCACTTGCTAGGTCCTTGATTGTGTACTACTCTTATTATATTCTCGTGACAGGTCTTGTAACTTTTGCTCCAATGGCCGAACTTGTAGTGCCGCCCTGGTTTGCTCTTGTCTTGTTTGTACTCTTGTGACTAGTCTTCAAACCCTTGCCTCAGAGGTTGGACTAGTACTGCCACCCTGAGCTGCGTGTCTCTTGCTAGGCACCGCCCCTTGTCTAGCCTAGGGGGTGTGTCAACATATATTTCTTTATGTTATAGGCTAGATAGGTGCATGCTCATAGAGGGTACAACACCATAGCACAAAACCTTCCTGTATGGCACAATCTATTCCATTGTGTTTTTCTAACACTTGAACATTTCCCTTTGGAATTCTGACTAGAATTACTGTTGTGAATTTCGGATGGGAAGGAGTTTGAAATGAACAGCTGGATTATGATTGTCTGACGCAACAAACAGCCTGGCAAAATGTATGGTGTGACCCTTCTGTGTTCAATTCCACTCTTTTAAGGAGAAATGTCAATAGTTAGGAAAGAACGTCAATTCTAGCTATCAAGCATGCAAGTAAATAACCTAATGCCTCCCCATTTTATTCAGATCCTGTGCAGTCCAGCCAATTAATCCAAACCCTCGGGTTGGGCTGAGAGGAGGACTCGCTGGGGGTGTGGAGAATGGGCTGCGATTGGCCTGATGGTGCTGATACGGGTTGCTGCTCATGTTCAATGGTTGATGTTGATGGTATGCACTGATGCTGCCAGCATTTGGTTGTTGCTGCGGATATGGATTGTTGCCCATGCTTTGGCTGAGATGGCTGCTGGGAGGCCCTGCTTGGTTGCCTGCATTGATGGGCCGTCCCCTTGGTTGGCGGCTTGACCTGGAACACAGAGACACATACAGTTCGAGAAACACCATGTCAAAATAGCCCGACTGATACATGCCAAATTTCTGCAGTGAGATGGAAATTCAGGGCCGCTTTAAGGGGATGGCAATGGCACCAGTTTGCACTTTTAAGTGAGCTTAGTACATGGAGATGGAGGACTCGTTGGAGGAAATACTGCCGTTCCTCAGCTTGGAAATGTTCAAGTCCTGCTGCACAATCCACACACACAAGCACACATCCATCCTAGTACAGAGTCAGTCCTGGACTTCCACACTCACTTCAGATTCCCACTCTACCATAACCGCTCTGGACTTCCCATTCTGCTGCTCACAATGCTGCCACCGCACCCCACCCCACCCCACCCCACCCCACCCCGTGAGAACCTCATGTTTTAATGTGAACATACCTCTGATCGCATGCTGGACGTGCGGCTGCACGATCGGCTCTGGGAGCTGCCTGTGCCGCTCACAATGCTGCCAGCCGCCGCTGCAATGGCTGCTGCTGTCGCTGCATTCATAATGCTGCTGCCACTCCCATGCATCCCATTGCCGCTTGGCCCTCCACCTCCCACCATTCCCACTCCTCCCACAGTGCTGTTGCTCATGCCAAGCTGGCCACCAGCAGCTGCCGGACCTCCCCTGGAGGCTATCGAGCCTGCTCGAGATGCCGAGCCTGCAGCACTGGAGGAAGCTGCTAGCGTGGAGCCACTGGTGGTGCTGGTGGCAGGGCCATTATGGAGCTGGTTATTTCCGGCAAAACTGTTATTTATGGCATTGCAGCTGCTGTTCTGCACGTGCTGCTGCTGTTGCTGCTGCTGCTGCTGCTGCTGTGGCGGCTGTTGCTGGAAGCTCTGTCGAGCCACCTTCCCATCGGCCCCTTTGCTTGGGCCGACAAAGAAAGAATGGCTAACTGCCACAGCCCCAGGCCTATCACCGGTACCACCACGTGTGGGGGTGGTGGGCCGAGATCCTCTTGCTGCCGAACCGACTGCTGGTGCGGCTGTTGCCGCTGCTGTCACTGCTGCGGCTGAAGGCTTTCGCGCTGCTGCTGCCTTGTTTCCAGTACTAGGCGCAGCAGCAGCTCCTGGTCCCTTCGCGCCGGCAGGACCACCACCAGCACCACCATTTCCAGTATCAGCACTACCACCAGCAGCTGCTGCTGCTGCTGCTCTCTTCTGTCTCCTGAGCGCCTGCTGCTGCAGCTGGTGCTGCTTGAGCTGCTGGTAGAACTGCTGCTGCAGGTAGTGCGGGCTCTTCCTCATCTGCGCCTCCATGTGCGCCTGCAGCTTCTCCTGCGCCCCCACCTCCCTCTCCCCCTCCTCCTCCTCCTCCTGCTGCTGCTTCGCCTGACCCGGCTGGCCTGGATTCTGCTTTCCTTGCCCCTGCAGCTTCGCCACAGAGCTTCTGACCACAGGGCTCTTGACAGTCGGGCTTTTGACAACAGGGCTTTTGATAATAGGGCTCTTGAGGCTGCCTGGTCTTTGCACCAGCACCTGACTAGGCCTAGCCTGGCTCCCTTGGCTGCCCTTCACCTGGAGCTGTTGCCCCGGCTTTCGGTGCTGCTGTTGCTGGGGCTGGGGCTGGGCTCGGGGGGACTTTAGCTGCTGCTGTTTCCTCTGCTGCTGCTGCTGCCGCTGGATGACGTGGCGGATGGGGATTGGCTTGGGGGAAGCGGATGCAGGAGAGATGGGGCTCATGGGAGAGGATGGGGAGGGGCGCGTGGGGGAGAGGGGGGAGAGAGGGGAGCCCAAGGACCCGATTCCTCTGGTTGGGGAGAGACGAGGAGTGGCTGGATTGGAGGAGGGAGGAGCAGCAAGAGCAGCAGCACCACCACCAGCACAACCAGCAGCGCCAGTAGTAGCAGTAGGCATGGCCACATGCGGGGGGGGGAGCATTTCCCCTGACATGTGCAGGGAGTTGCGCATAGAGGAGCCGCCCCCGGCCCCAGGAGCACGGGGGGAGGGCGAGGGCGGGCGCTGCAGGGAGTTATGCACAGAGGGAGGCCCGGGGGACGGCAGCTGTTGCAGCGAGTTATGAACCGACGCGCAGGGGGAAGGGAGCTGGTGCAGGGAGTTATGCACCGAGGGGCAGGGGGAGGGCAGGGCGGAGGAGAGGAGCGCACTGGACCTCTCTTCTGAGATCGCATCCAGAGCCATGCCGGGCGGTAACCGTCCAGTAACAGCCGCGTAATTCAGCGCACGGATGATCGGGTCGATCTTATTGGGGGAGGACAAGGTGTTGCTGCTGCCGCGCCTGCCGCCGTTGGAAGTGCTTGGAGAGGCGCAGTTGCTGCTGGGGCTGAAACCCTCAACCCTTCTCGGGCTGCTGAGGGCGTTGGGGCTGGCTCGGGGGCTGGTTCGGGGGCTAGCCAGGGGGCTCACAGGGGCGGAGGACGGTGGGGTGCCGGTTGCATGGTTGGTTCCGTGGTTGGGGCGGAGAGTAGGGCTGGTGGGCTTGAGGAGAAGAGCCGGGTCAAAGGAGGAGGGGATGGGCAGAGGGGGCGGGCTGCTGCGACCATTCCACCAGATGGGAGACGGTCCTGTGCCTGCTGCTGCTGCTGCTGCTGCTGCCCCCCCTGGTGCCCCTGCCCCTGCTGCTGCTGCTGCTGCTTCCTTGGCTCTTCCTGTCTTCCCAAGAATTCCACCACTGTGGCCACCGTGGGTGGTAGTCATGGCGGCAGTAGCAGCAGCACTAGCAGCAGCACTGGCAGCACTAGCAGCACCACCACCACTCAACACACTTGCATGCGCTAACAGCTCCTGCCTCTCCCTCCTGCCTCCATCCTCCTCGCTCCCGTCTCCCCTCTCCCTCCTGTGCCCGCCCCCTCCGCTGCTGTCAAACGAAGCTTCTCTCCTGTGCCCACCTGTATGCGTACTCTCCACCGCGTGCCCATCACTCCACTCCCCCCTTCCCCCTCCCTCACCATCCACGCCCTCACTCATATTCCCCCAGGACTCCCCACCGTGCTTCCTCCACCCAGCAGCAGCAGCAGCAGCAGCACCATCAGACACAGTTCTCGCCGGGCCCTTCCTGCCTGCATCCACGCCCAGGGAAAGCTGCTGGTGATTCCTTGTGTGGTTACCACCTGTGTTACCGCTTCCGCCAATGATGCTCTTCTTGGCTTTCTGAAGCAACCTCTGGAACATACTCTGCTTGCTGTGCTGGTGCTGCTGATGTTGGTGGCCGCTCTGGTGGTTATGGTTGGTGGTGTTGTCGTGGTGGTGGTGGTGGGGATGGTCCTCGTTCTGACCGTGACTGTAGAAACGCCTGTGACTCATGGTGCTGTTGCCATTCCTGCGGCTGTGGCTGCCAGTCTCACGGTTGTCATCCTCAGGGGCGCTTCCCAGAACCAGCCTTGCGTCACTTACGTCAGCGGACACGGAGCGGCGAAGCCTGTTGCTGCTGGTAATCGTGCCGGCATCAGGCCTTGCGCGCCCCAACACATCCTCGCCTCGCTGCTGCTGCTGCTGCTGCTGCTGCTGCTGCTGCTGCTGCTGCTGCTGCTGCTGTAGCCCGTGTGGCTTAGGCTCTCCTCCTACCCCGTCCCTCTCCGTCTCCACCTCACTCCCACCGTTCCCCCTCAACACATTCTGCCGCTGCAGCGACGGGATCTCACCTCCCCCACAGCCTTCCCCTCCTTCCCCGCCTTCCCCACCCTCCCCCGCTTCCCCGCCTTCCCCGCCCTCCCCGCCTGCAGCCGCCCTGCAGCTGCTGCCGAACGACGCGGATCGGCGCAACGCGCCCCCCCCTCCCTTCCCGCCCTCCATCTCGATCTCCTCGTCAATGTCGTCGCCAAACAGATTATCCCCCGTCTCCACCGTCTCCGCGCGCCGCAAGGGTAAATTACCCTCTTCGCTCTCCTCCTCCGCATCCTCACCATCTCCTCCTCCCCCACCTGCTCCAGTGCTCCGCCCTCTGCCGCCGCCGCTGCTGCCGCCGCTGCGGTCGCTCCTCTGCCTGGCGAGTGGCACTGAGGGGCCGTCCTCATCCTTGAGCTCCGCGAACGTGTCGTCCCCCTCCTCCTTCTCCTCCCCCTCCTCCCCCTCCTCCCCCTCCTCCTCCCCTTCCTCCCTCTCCCCCTCTTCCTTCTCTGCATCGTCCGGCTCCTGCTCCCTCTCCTCCTCCTCTTCCTCCACCTCCTCCTGCTCTGGCTGCAGATGAGTTTTCCCACTCCCAGCAGCCGTCTCATTATCCTCAAACTCCACTTCCTGCTCTTGCTCCTCCTCCTCCTCCTCGACCTGCTTCTGGCCACGCGTCAGTTTCTCATTGGCTGCAGAGCCCGCAGATCTTGTTGATGCTGCCCGCGCCCCCAGAGCTGTTCCAGAGCTGCCCGGGCTGCCCGAAGAGAAAGCAAGCGCGCGCCGCGACATGGGGCTTCCAGAGGTGGGCGCTGCTGGTGTGCGCGGGGCCCTACCAGCCCTGGCCTTATCAGATACGCTCCTCGTAAGACTTCCCCTCACCGCCCCTCCGCTTGCCGTCCGGCTGTTACCGCCACTGGGGGAAGCAGCGCGGGAAGAAGGAGCTCTGGGGGAAGAAGCGCGGGGAGAGGCAAGCCTGCTGCAGTTTCCGCTGCCCAGGCTCCGGGGAGAAGCAGCACCGGGGGAAGCAGCGCGTGGGGAAGCAGCGCGGGGAGAGCCAGCAGCGCCAACACCGCCCGCGGCGCCACTGCTGCTGCTCCGCCGCAGCACAGGGCTTGCGCTGCGCCCCCTAGCCCCGCCTGCCGCCCTTCCCCCGCTGCCCACGCTGCTGGCCCGGGGAAGAGCTGCAGGTGAGGCGGCAGGTGAGGCGGCAGCAGAAGCAGCAGCAGTGGGCTTAGCACCAGCCTTGCCTCTCCCTGCTGCAGCCGTGTTCGCTCCCACGAGTGCCATCAGCTGTTCTATGTCCCCATCCCCCCCTTGCCTCCCCTTCACCTGCTCCCCTTGCCTCCCCTTCTCACCTTTGTCTTTCTCCTCCGCCTGCTTCCATTCGCCCCTGACTTCTCTCTTCCCTTCGTCCTCATCCGATGCATGCGCCTCCATACTCCCTTCCTCACACTCATTGCTATACTCATCCCCCTCCACCTCCTCCCCCTCACGCCCGTTCACTCCACCACCCCCGCCCACGCTCCCCCCTCTGCTCAGGCTGCTCACTCTCCCCCACGATCTTCCGCTTCCCCGTCCTCCGCCAACGCTCTTTTCCCCCGCCGTCTCCGCCCCGCCTCCGCCTTCCGCTGTCCCCGATCCCCCTAGCGCGCCCTGGCTCTTCAACTCCTCGCCGTCCATCGAATCCCAGGGCAACGGGATGCCTTTGATTGGCGGCGGCCGTTTCTTATCCAGGCTCGGCCGACCCTGGTAGACCGGAGGTCGGCTCGGAGTCGTAGGTTCGGCAGTCACGATCGGCTCCATCGCGATAGTTTTCGCGACACCATTCGCATCCGTTACAGTCAGTCCCGTTACAATCATGTTTCCATTCCGAAGCTTGCCATTTGGGCTGGTACCGAGCCTGCCAGGCGAGCCTCCCACTGCGGCAGTCTGCGGGCCCGAATAACGACCGCCGTCATTTGCGCTTAGAGGAGCGATCGACGCGCGCCGAGCCGACTGCGAATGGTACGGCAGAGGGCCGGAGAGCGGGCGGGAGAGGGAGACTAGGAGCGAGAGCGGAGTGCCGGAGGAGCGCCTTAATCCATCCTCGTCGTCTCCTAACTGCAGCACACCGAATTCACTCGCATAGCCGCTGTGACGCGGGGAGGAGAGAGTGTGCACCCACTGCTCGCCGCTCACCCACACCGGGTTACTATCATTCGCATTCGCGGCTCCGGTGTCTTCGCCTTCGGTATTGTTCGCCGCGTGCGCGGCGGCCATGCGACGGGCGTAGGCAGACACGCCCTCAGCGCGGCCGAGGGAAACGGACCTCCTGAGATTCGCGCCGCTGCCGAAGCCGCCTCCGCCGCCGCAGTAGCCGTCTGGAGACGGGCTGCCGGCGGCAGGCTCGATGAACGAAGCGCGGATGGACTGCGCGAGGAGCGCCGGCGAAACCCGACTCGGGTCGGGCGCGCGGTGAGAGCGCCGCGGCGGCGTGATGGTTTTCAAATCGCGGTTCATGGTCTTCGAATCAAGGTTTTGCAGGTTGTTGCTGCGGAGATGCTTCACCTCGTTGCGCAGCCGCCGGCCCTCCTCCTCCTCCTCCTGCAGCCGTCGCTTCAATTCTGCCACCTCATTTGCCAGCTCCTCCACGTGGCCCCACACCACCGAGCCGCTACTGCTCCCGCCGCCGCCGCCGCCGCCCCCTGCGGGGCCTCCGCTTTCTTTCGGGTCGTTCTTGACCCCCGACGAGCCTGCCTGCGCCTCTTTCTCGTTGGTGCTACAGCAAGACGCGACGGAAGATCCGGCGGGAATTGCGGCCATGGGGCCGAGGCCCCAGATCGGGTCGGCGTTTTCGTCGTCGTCGTCGAAGTTGAGATGACGTGGATGGTGGTGGCGCTGACGTGGATCGTTGTGGTCGCAGCAGTGGTGGTGGGGGGAGTAGTGCTCGGGCGAGGGGGGGTGGTAACAGTCGTTGTTGTGGTCCTTCCCGTTGCCATTAATGTTGCTCGCGAAGAGTTCGCGATGGCGATCTGCTTTCACGATGTTCCAGCGACCGCGGATGGGCGACTTGTGACGCGGAGAAACAGCATCCTGCGCAACGCGGGAAACGAACACGCGTAGAGTGGACCACGCAGCAGTAGATTTGTGAAAAGATTGACACGGAATGATGGAAAAGCAAGACCAGACGCACGCGGAAGTTAGGCACGCGCGCGTGAGAGGAAGAACAGAGGCGCGGGGAAGGGAAGGAACGCGAAGGAGAGGCGAGTAATGGGTCAACAGGAGCTCGTAGTCAGCCCAATCAACGCACGCTTTGTGTCCACTCTGCATCAATTTTGTGAGTTTATACTAGCAGTTTGTTAGCTCGCTGCACACGAAACTTTCTTGGTTTGCAGAGCAGCGGCAAATCACACCAACTTATTTTCCGTCAGCAGGCTCCTCATAAGGTGCTCAGAGACTCACCCGGTTCGTGGATTTGGGTTGCAGAGCGCCGGCCATGGGGCTGCTTCGCCGGCCACCGAATTCTGCCGGCTCATTCTCTGCCGGCAGACTGCCGCCGAAACACGCGAGCAGCCGCTTGCCGGACTTAGGCGTCCGATTCTCCTTCCTTCTGCTGGACGGCTCTTTTCTCCCGCCTAGCGGGCTAAGGTTGCCCACTGGGCTCCACATCGTGGTTTAATTAGTAGTCGCGCACAAAGAGACTTTGTACACCTTGTACTTAAATAAAGACTCTGCGTTTCTAAGTGTGTACTAAGGTGGGATAATAGGATACGAGCGCGACACAACGCTGCATCTCTTGCTGGGGTGGTGTAATCCTTCCGTCTATCAGTGCGTGAAGGAGAGAGCACACTCGTCGAACAATCACGCAGGGTAACTAGCAGTCATTTCAGCTAAGATTCTGAGCGAGAGAATAGAAGAGGAGCTTGCGTTGCGACTAGACCACGACTTGCTAGCTTCTCTTTCCTGAATAACGAGGCGTCCTCCTGGAATGTGCAGAGAGAAAGTGATCGGTTTCCATCTACAAACCGCAAGAAACTGTCCTGCCTCGGCACACTCGAGAACCTTGCTGGGCGGCAGGAAAGTCAAGTGCTCTCGATTCCTCCTCGGGCGTTTTGTGAGCTTCGAGCTTCGCCCACCCGTTACACGACTTTTACTCCGTCCCGCATCGAGATTTGAGTCCCCGGGAGAAGTTCTCGAGGCGCAGCAATTCCAGGGAGGGACGCAAAAATATGAGAAGCTCGATGTGGAAATGGCGAATGAGGGAGAGGTCATGAAAGCTGGCATGGCGGGCGGCACTTAGGGGAAAGCTGGCTGGATTCACCCCAGGTTGATGCAAAAATTGCGCTGCCATCTTGTACTTTTGGCGGGAAACTTCGATCGAATTTGAACTGATGGCGCGCACCTCCTACGCCCAGTGACCGTTCGCTTCAAGTCAAGGATGGGACAACAGTTGAGGTTTGACCCGTTGCTGTCGCTCGACACAAGAACATAGTTCTACTTCTAAGCAGACTGCTATATATCTTTCTTGCAATTGCAAAGTGTAGTTCCAACAATTCTATCTGCCTTCGGTTACCTGTTTCTCACTGACGACAAGCCAAGCATTTTCGTGAAGATCCTCGCACAGTCGCTGGGATTGGGATTTACGCCACCTCAACTCTGCGAAAGCTTGCGTCATGATCAGCCGAACCCCTTGGTGTGCTGACGTCTGCTAGCGAAGCTCCCTGCTCAACTCGCCATAAACTCGCGAAACCTCCTCAACCTGGTTCTGGGGCTGGCGGCAGTTGCGCCGCACAGGAAATGTTGCTGCTTTGCTTTTCCCTTCCCTCCCTCCCATTGGCCTGCGTGTCTGTTGTGGGGTCCACCCGCTTATCGAATGCCACGTGTCCAGGCACTCACCCTGCGACTGGTGATCGTGAGATTTGAGTCCATGGCTATGACAACTCCGCTTTCTGTAAAAGCAGCTCCGCCCATCCATGGCTCATACTGCTCGTAACTGCTCATACTTTTCTAGTACTGTACAGTTGAGCTCACTTCGCACTAATTCAAGTGTGCTCGCTCCGTCTACAGCAGTTGCCTCATGATGAATCGAGATTAGGACACACCCATGCCCACCCATGCACATGCTCGATGCGACGCGACGCCCACCCATGTCTCAAGGGCCGTTGCTGCAGCCATCACAGCCGCATGCATCACAGCGCATCCAGTTTATCCCCGTTACGCGAGTCCGATTGAATGCAGAACACGTTCAGGCAGTCAGCTGTCAGACTCGCGTGATTCGCGGTCCAGCAAAGGCCATTAGTAGTAGCTTCGATCGATCACTAGCACCAAGCAGCGCCGATCACTAACGCTGATCAACCGCGCCGATCATCAGCGTCGATCATTAGCGTCGAGCATTAGTGTTACACTGAGAAGTTTAGGGTGAACCTTGTCCGTCACATTTCCGTCACCTGTCAGTCATCTGTCCGTCATCTGTCCGTCACCTCTCCGTCACTTACCGTCACCTGTCAGTCATGATCGACGGCGGAGATGTGTACCGCGTGTTCTGCGCCATCGTGCCGCTCTACGTGGGGATCGGGTCGGGGTACCTGTCGGTGCGCGTCTTCAAGATCCTCTCGCCCGACCAGTGCGCCGGAGTCAACCGCTACATCGCCTTCATCGCCCTCCCCGCCCTCGTCTTCCAGGTGCTTCTCCCTACTCTCGCCTTCCAGGTATCAAGGCATCTCTCCCTGCTCTAGTACCCAGGGTATCTGTCGGTGGGCGTGTTCAATATCCTCCCCCGACCAATGCGCCGGAGACAACTGATACATGGCTTTCATCGCCCTCCCCGCTCTCGTCTTCCAGGTGCTGCTTTCCCTCCTCGCGGATTGCACGTGCGTCTCTTTGCTGTAGTCTGTTCTTTCTCCTTTCTTCCTGTTGCATTGTAGGTTCCATAGAAGAGATCCTTGAGGTCTGGGGGTCTTGAGCTGATTCGAGATGGGTAGAGATGGGTAGAGATGGGTAGAGATGGGTAGAGATGGGTAGAGATGGGTAGAGATGGTTAGACCCTAAATTCATGTACAAATTCTTGCTGCACCGCCAGACCATCGCCAAGATGGATATGTTCAAGATGGATATGTTCAAGATGGATATGTTCAAGGTGGATATGTTCAAGATGGATATGTTCAAGATGGATATGTTCAAGATGAATTTCCAGTGCTGGGCGCGGACTCATGCTTCCTGCGGATAAATCACATTCCTTCATGTTTTTGTGTCTCTCACGCTGTCAGACCACTGCCAAGGCCGACATGTTTAAGATGAACTTTCAGTTTCTGGGCGCAGTCTCCATGGCGAAGCTCTTCGTGCTGCTGGTGTGGTGGTGGTGATGCTCTTCCTGCTGCTCATCCTAAATCTTTCCTATGGCATCCTCATGCTTGTTCTTTCAACCTCGCCCATCCCTCGCCCATCCCTCGCCCATCCCTCGCCCATCCCTCGCCCCACCGCCAGACCATTGCCATGACGGACCTGTTAAAAATGAGCTTCCAGTCCCTGGGAGCAGGATGTTCCAGACTGCACGGCCAACCCCTTCATCCTGATGGTGGTCATGCTCTTCCTGCTGCTCGTCCAATCCAAGCTCTCCGCTTGAATGTCTCGTGCGGCGCGGTGGGTGAAACGCCACTTGTTGGTTTACCCCCTTTCCTGCGCCCCACCCACCGCCAGACCATCGCCAAGACCAACATGTTCCAGATGAACTTCCAGTTCCTGGGAGCAGACTCCACGGCGAAGCTCTTCGTGCTGGTGGCGGTGATGCTCTTCCTGCTGCTCCGAGTGGTCGCCAAGCTCCTCCCCATCCACAGGGCGTTCCTGTGGTCCGCGTCGCTCTTCATGCTCGTGTCCATGCCCAACACCCTCATCATCGGTGAGCAGCCCAGACTTACATTGCTTCCTCCCAGCTCCTCCCCCAAGCTCTCCGCTCTCTCCCTCGCTATTCGTGCTCGTGCTCGTGCACATGCCCAACACCTCGTCATCAGTCACTCCCTACTCTCCTCGCTGCCTCCCTCTCCTCTCCGCTCCCTCCCTCCTTTCCTTTGCTCGCCCCCTTCGTGCTCCTCCACTCCCTCTCCGCACAGGTGCACCGCTGCTGCCTGTCTTGTACCGGGAGGGATGACACTGGAGAGTTGATGTTGCAGAGAGTGGTGCTGCAGTCGGCCATCTGGATGCCGCTCACCATCCTGCTGCTCCCCTTCCTCATTCCCTCAACAGGTGTGCCTCAACAGGTGTGCCTCAACAGGTGTTCCCATCATCAGGTGTGCCCCTACTATCAGCCATGTACAGGGAGGACGCTGGCGACCTCATGGCACAGATAATGGTGCTGCAGGTGCAGATGTGCCTTGGAATCCTAGGCATAAGTCGCCTCTCCCCCGTCTTCCTTCCCTCCCCCCGCAGGTATACCACTCTTATCAGCCTTGAACGGGGATGAGGCCGGCGATCTGATGGCGCAGATAGTGGTGCTGCAGTCGGCCATCTCTCTGCGCCTCACCATCCTGCACCTCCCGTTCCTCATTCCCCCAACCGCGCAAATGCTCCGCTGCTCTCAGCCATGTACGGGGAGGACGCCGGCGACCTGACGGCACAGATAGTGAGGCTGCAGCAGTCCGTGATTTGGCTGCCGCTCACCATCCTGCTGCGCCTCGTCCTCCTTGCCCCTCATCAGGTGTGCCCCTACTCTCAGCCATGTACGGGGACGAGGCCGGGGATCTGATGGCGCAGATAGTGGTGCTGCAGTCGGCCATCTGGATGCCGCTCACCATCCTGCTGCTCTCCTGCCAGCAAGCCACGGCCCTCAGCACCCGTGTGCATGACGCCAGTGGCAACCAGGCTGCTGGGATCACTGGCAACCCTGGCAACCCTGGCAACGCTAGCAACGCTGGCAACGGTGACAGCACGAGCAACCACCCAGCAAGCTCTACCACGGGGTCTTCTTGCTCGCAAGCTGTCCCTGCTGCTGGTGTGTCTCACCCCCGGCAGCGCGTGATGACTCGGCTGGACAGCATGCTGCTGCGCAGCAGCTCCTTCAACGGCAGCTGGTTCAACACCCGCGGCTTCACTGGCAGCAACCGCAGCTCTAGCAGCCATTTCGAACACACCACCTCCACTGGAGCTACTTGCTCTCAGGCAACCCCTACTGCGGGTGCAGTCGATCCTGCTGCCGCCCCTGCTGCTGGTGTGTCTCACCCCCAGCAGCGCGTGATGACTCGGCTGGACAGCATGTTGCTGCGCAGCAGCTCCTTCAACGGCAGCTGGTTCAACACCCGCGGCTTCAATACAGCCACACTCACACGATCCCTTAGTGGCAGATCCGCTAGTGGTAGAGGCACCTTGGTAGACGTCAGCTCGGCAAGTGGTACAAACAGCACATCAGCAGACTTAGTAGGAGCTCAGTTAGGATCCGAAATGGGAAGCAGGTGGGAAGAATCCGATGGCAGAGGGAGCCAGGGCGGGGACGAGCAGCAGGGGAGTCAGGAGGATGTGCAGGGGGGAGTGAGCAGGCGAATTGGGAGGCAGGAGGAGGTGACGGTGTGCATTGAGGCAGCGGAACGTCAGACCAGAAATGCAGCCCAGGTGACCGCTGCCGTAGTTGCTGCTGCTGCGGGGTCAGCGGCGCATGCAGGTGCAGGGAGAATGGCGACTGTAACTGCAGGGCCAGCAGCACGTGCTTCAGAGGATGGTGGGAGCGATGGTGGGAGAACAAGGGGAAACAGCGCCAGGGAAGATGATGTGAGAGGGAGGATACAGGGAGAGGGAGAACGGTTAGGGGGCGGGGGGGGAGGAGTGGGGCTTGGGAGCTGCTTGGGACGGGGGAGCAGCAGCAGCTTGGGGCGGTGCCCGTCGATATCTGAGACCAGTACTTTTGAAGAGCCGTTGGATAGAGGGTGGGATGCAGAGGGCAATTCAAGCCTTGGGAGTGACGTTGTTGCTGGTTACGCGGTTACAGGTCCAGCAGCAAAGGAGGAGCAGGACGAAGGAACTCGTGAGCAGCAGCAGAAGGAGGAGGAGGTGGGGCAGGGAGCAGTGGTGCCCTCGGTTGATGGGAGCAAGTGTGGAGACGAAGTGGGGCATGGGAAGAGACGGCGGAGAGGGAGGAGGCTGCTGGCGGTGCTGTGGGTGGTGTGGGCGAAGCTGGTGAGGAATCCCAACAACCATGCGGCGCTCATCGGAGTTGTCTACTCGCTTGTTTCCAATGCGTGAGTTGGTTTCCCCCGTGTGCTGAAGCTGCGTATGTTTGTGCTGTGGTGCCTGCTTGTGTTGTGTTGGGTGGTGCTGTGGTGCCTGCTTGTGTTGTGTTGGGTGGTGCTGTGGTGCCTGCTTGTGTTGTGTTGGGTGGTGCTGTGGTGCCTGCTTGTGTTGTGTTGGGTGGTGCTGTGGTGCCTGCTTGTGTTGTGTTGGGTGGTGCTGTGGTGCCTGCTTGTGTTGTGTTGGGTGGTGCTGTGGTGCCTGCTTGTGTTGTGTTGGGTGGTGCTGTGGTGCCTGCTTGTGTTGTGTTGGGTGGTGCTGTGGTGCCTGCTTGTGTTGGGTTGGGTGGTGCTGTGGTGCCTGCTAGTGTTGTGTTGGGTGGTGCTGTGGTGCCTGCTTGTGTTGTGTTAGGTGGTGCTGTGGTGCCTGCTTGTGTTGGGGGTGGTGCTGTGGTGGAGCACGGGGAAGGCAGGGGAGGGTGATGGGGGCTGTGATTCCAGGACAAATCTCTCCACCCCTGGGGGCAGTGAGAGCAGGAGCACCGGGGCGGTGGGAAGGGGGAGGTGGGAAGGGGGAGGTGGGAAGGGGGAGGTGGGAAGGGGGAGGTTGGAAGGGGTAGGTGGGAAGGGGGAGGTGGGAAGGGGGAGGCTGGAAGGGGGATGTGGGAAGGGGGAGGTGGGAAGGGGGAGGTGGGAAGGGGAGGTGGGAAGGGGGAGGTGGGAAGGGGGAGGTTGGAAGGGGGAGGTTGGAAGGGGGAGGTGGGAAGGGGGAGGTGGGAAGGGGGAGGTGGGAAGGGGGAGGTTGGAAGGGGGAGGTGGGAAGGGGGAGGTTGGAAGGGGGAGGTTGGAAGGGGACGGTGGGAAGATGCAGCGCCCAGGAGGAGTGAAGGTTGCTGACACAGTGTGCAGTGCTGCCATCAGTATCACCTGCTCTCCCCTCCACAATTCCTCTCCCTCTCCCTCCCTCTCAACCACCCAGCTGTGGCTTTGGCTACCCGGAGATGCTGCGCACGTCAGTGAAGATGGCTATGGGGCGCCTCGGATCAGGTTGTGGCTTTGGATACCTCTCCCCCCCCAAACCCTCCCCCCCAACCCCCCCGTCTCGCCCTCTGTTCCATTCTCCCTCCTTCCCTCAACCCAGCTGCGGCTTTGGCTACCCAGAGATGCTGCGCACGTCAGTGAAGATCGTTGCGGACACGGGGCTCGGCATGTCCATGTTCAGCCTCGGTGAGAATAGGCTTGGTAACCGACTCCTCTCAGGCTCGGTAGGCTCGGCTCAGACACGGGACTGGGCATGTCCATGTTCAGCCTCGGTAAGCACAGTAGCCAACCCTACTCAGGCTCGGGCTTGGTGTCGAGCTCATTTCAGGCTCGGTAGGCTCGGCATATCCGTGTTCAGGCTGCGTAAGTAGGGGCCTGCGTGGTCTGGTCTGGTGCAGCCTTGGTAAGTGCTGTCACGTGAAACTTTGGACCGCCCGTCTTCTCTCTTTTTTGGCTCAAGATTCATATTTCCTGCGGCCTATGGCGCACCTCGTGGTCGCTCATTCTGCACTTCGCCCCCTCGCTCTCCTCCCACCCCTGTGTACTAATCCTGTCCCCCGCCCCCTTTAGGTCTGTTCATGGCCAGCCACAAGAGTCTGCTCTCTTGCAGCCTCTGGACGTCGTCTGGTCGCTCACTCTGCGCTTTGCCTTCACTCCACCGACTCTCTCATCCACCCCCTACCCGCCACCCCCCAACCCCCTTCCCCTCAGGTCTATTCATGGCCAGCCAGAAGAGCCTGCTCTCCTGCGGCCTGTGGCACACCATCTGGTCGCTCACTCTGCGCTTTGCCCTCACTCCCCTCACCACGGCCCTCTTCGCCTTCCTCTTTGGCATCCGCGGCAAGCTCTTCCGAATAATTGCCATGCAGGTAAGATAGTTACCGGATTTCATGCCTGATAGCATGTCTGATTCTCTGTGAGAGGTGTCACTATTTTCCTTCGAGACAATAATCACCAGGCACGTAACTAGCTGCCCTCACTCCCCTCACCACGGCCCTCTTCGCCTTCTTCTTTGGCATCCGTGGCAAGCTCTTCTGAATCATTGCCGTGCAGGTTGGGGTACACTGTCTTGCACTGAGGGAATTACCACCAGACACATAGCTAGTTGCCCTCACTCCCCTCAACCCCCTTACCACTGCCCTTTTTGCTTTCCAATTTCGCGTTCGTGACAAGCTCCTGCAAATCATTGTTATGTAGGTGAGGGAACCCCGTGCCTGATTCAATGTTCACGTGCTTTCTCTCTCTTCCCTCGCCCCTTCTGTCTCCCAAGCCCCCTGTTTCCTCCGCGTTCCTGCTCTCACTGCCCCCAGGGGTGGAGAGATTTGTCTTGGAATCACAGCCCCCATCACCCTCCCCTGCCTTCCCCGTGCTCCCCTTGTCTCCCCCAACCTTCACGTTGTCAGTCCGCACTGCCCCCAGGGGTGGTGACCTTCGTTCTGGCCAACGAATATAAGTCACACACTGCCATCCATAGCACGGGGTAAGGACAAAAAGCGCTTTGTGTCTACATCCACGTGCAAAGCACCCTTCCTCCCCGCATACGCATACTCTACATCCAGTGCATGTGCGCACACTGACTAATGCATCACAATTCCACTCATTTTTTGTTTCTCACCCCCTTCACACAATTCCCCGTTTCCCCCATGTCTGCAGTGTTTGCTTTGGAACGCTCATCTCCTTTCCCATACTCATGGGATACTACCTCCTCCTAGGGGAGTGATAACAGTCAACTAGGAGGCTATTCGTAAGGACGTCTTGTGCCAAAGTAGCATGTAACATATCATTATGTAATATATCATTCATTCATTGTCCCTTGTGCAGATATGCCTTTTCGCCTGCTGGAGAGTGTATTCGGGAACTAGGCAGGGAAAACCCCTGAAATTTCACCACTGCGTCAGACGACAAAAAGTGCGAAACAGGCGGCTGCGGCCTGCTTTTTGCATCAGGTGAAAGGCAGAGCGCCACCAGCCAGGGTCTTCGCACACGCGAGAACGTGCGACAATTACATCGTCGCACCGCTCTGAGCTCTGGAACAGAGGCCACAGAAAACGTGTGACGCGTTGCGACCTCGATTTCTTCAGTGCAAATCGACGGCTGATTGCGGTCAGGATGCGTCGTGCGGCTAATTTTCGGGTGTCAGTGGTAACAAGCGTGTCAGGTGGCACCTCCCGAGTGGTTACAAAAAAGTAGCAGGCTATCCCACGAATCGCGCAGTCGCAAGCACCCCGGTTTCACCCAAAATTTGACCAAGCTGACGCTGACAACCCGCCCCATTGACATCGGATTCGTTGTTTCTGACGCCATCTGCAATCCACTGGTGCGCAAATCAGTTCCCTATGGGCGACCAGTTGCGGAACACACAGCACGGTCAGGAATCTGGTTCGGTTGGTGGGCAGTCTTGAAACGAGAAAGTGAAGGTTCGGCAAAGGCTTGGAGCTGACTGAGGCCTGCGCGCTGGCTCCGTCCTTCTTTCCAGCCTTGCTTCCCATTGGTGCATAGCCAAGCTCGTAACTCCCCACGCCATACGCCCCTCACAATTGTCCTGGTTTGGTCACAGCAGCCCGACCGAGCCTATCAGGTCACACCTGCCTTGCCTTTCAAACCTCTTAACCGTTTTATGTCGCTTATAGATTCTCTCCAAACGTACTGAAACATTATCTATGGATGTCTCCTCCACCCGTCTGTCCCCTGCCTGTCTCTCCCCTGTCTCCGCCATTTTCAAGAAATAGCTTATCTTCAAGAATCTTCCCAGGAATCGTTTTCGCGAGGCATGCTTCTTTCGTCTCTCTAGCTACAGCCCCAAATCCTGGCGTATCCAACCACGCACCCTCCATGACGCTCTCTCCGACTGACGCCGACGGCCCGCTGCGATCCCCGCCGCAATCCACGGCGGGCTGCTCCTTCATGTGCTGCAGGCGCCACGCATTCGTGTTCTCCACCTCCATCGGCACCACCAACTTCAGCGTCTGCGTCGCCTGCGCCTTCTCGCGCTGGCTCAAGCACACCGTTTTCGCGCTTCCGTCGTTCCTTCTCGTTCTGACCGCGGTCTGGGCGATTAACGAGCTCCTGCTTCCTGCCACCTGGCGCTTAGACCTCTCTGCGCCTTGCGTTCTCACGCCGCGGAATCTCCTCCTGGTGCTGCTGACGTGTCCCGTGATCTGGCAAGAATGGGTCGTTCCACGCGTGGACACGTGGCGCGAGCGGCGTGAGGACCGGCGCAGGGAGCAGCGGCACAGGGAGGAGATTATGGTCGCTCGGTTGCGAAAAGAGGCGACGCGTCGCTGTCGCAACTGCATGATCGCGTATCGCGACCAATCACCATCGTCGGGGAGGTTCACCTGCGCCGCGTGCGGGCACGTGTCGCGCCGCCCTGTGCTCGATTTGGTCACTACAAGCCCTCCCGGTAGTGTACGAAATCAACAACCTGACGCTGCGACCACTAGTCATCATCGACAGCAGCAGCAGCAGAAACATCAGCATCATTTTTTTCCTTCACCAACGGGTGAAGAGAATAGCAATAGGAGGAGCAGCAGCAGCAGCAGCAGCAGTGACTGGGGCAATGTAGGGTCTAGCGCACACGAGACCAGCAGTATCCAGGCGACCCTTGGGAATGCCGCCGATCGCTCAACCCAAAGCCTGCGCTGGTTACACAATCTCGTTTCCCCCTGCATTGTGGTGGTTTCGCTAGCAATGGCGCTTCCTTTCTCCGTTGCGCAATGGTTCCGCCAACGGCTGGTAGGCCCGCGCACGGCGGGAGCGAGTCTGCGCGGACATTCCTCCTCCGCAAGCCCGGAGCCGTGCGCGGACAGGGCAGCCCGGGCTCGGCGCAAGATGGGGCCGCGGAAGCCGGCTCGGGCGGAGCGGGAAGCGGCGGAGGCGGAGGAGCGGAAGCAGCGGGAGGAGATCGCGCAAATGGTGGAGGCGCAGCGGAAAGCGCGGGAGCAGGCGGAGGAGGGGAATGGGTGGGAAGTGGCGGGAAGAAGGGTCTCGAGAGACGGGAAAGGGGGAGTTGGACAGAGCATGACAAATAAAGAAAACTGCCCGTATGAAAAAAGTCGGCCGCAGGGCAGGAGTGATACTCTGCTTACCGGGCAGACGAACGGGCAGGCTAGCGGGCAGGTAGAAAGGCTAGGGAAGCACGCGCGGATGGTGAAGGAAAATTCGGGGGGCGCACTTTCCGTTGGCGCGAAGCATTCGAGTTTAGCGGGCGCAGCAGACCATGAGGTTTCGGGGAAAGGGGGCGGAATAAGCGTTCCGCGCAAGGCGGAACCTGGCCTTTCGCGCAATGCGCAAGATGCCCCTCCGCGCAAGGCGGAACGAGGCATGACAAACGGAGTGCTGGCGGCTTGCAAGAATAAAAGCACAAGCAGCGCCTGGAATAAGGGGTCCCTCGTGGGGCCATCCGTGCCACGTGTTGCAACTGCATTGGTGCACGAAGGGTTCTCTGTCACGTGTACCGGTGGCCCGCCACCACCCCCTCTCGCGCCAGCACCGCCCCCTCCCCCTCCCCGTGCGCCAACGCCTCCCCCTCCCCCTCCCTGTGCGCCAGCACCGCCGCCTCCTCCTCCGATTGCGCATCCGCCCACCGCCCGAGACAGTCGCACATTCTCCCAGGTCGCAAAGAGCAGCAGCGAGCGGGGGGGGAGCAGCAGCAGCAGCAGCGATGGCGGCAGCAGCAGCGGCAGCAGCAGCAGCAGCAGCAGCAGCAGCAGCAGCAGCAGCAGCAGCAGCAGCAGCAGCAGCAGCGGTGGTAGTGGTGTGGGTGGTTCGGAGGTTACTGGACCGGCTTGCCTCTGGAGCTACCCCTCCATCTCACCCTTTGTGCCCTCCCCTTCCCCTACTGCTCATGCTCACTCTGCTGCCCGTGATTCTTCACCCTCCGCCTCATTCCCCTGCTCCTCCTACCACACACCTCTCAAACAGCCGCCGCAGCCGCAGCCGCACCAGCACCAGCACCAGCAGGTGCAGGGGCAGGGGCAGGGAGCGTGGAGTGAGAGGGAGTGGGAGATGTGGGGCTCACCCCAAGTGCTGGACTCAACCCAGCGACTCGCCGACTCGTTTGCATTAGGACCAACCGTGCTAGCCAACCCCTTCGCCCTGCCCTTCTCCTCCCCCCTCTCCAACAGCACTGCCAACGCCACTATCACTGCGTCTGCCGCTGCTCCCCCCGTTGCTTCCCCCACTGCTCCCCTCGCTGCTCCCCCCGTTGCTTCCCCCACTGCTCCCCTCGCTGCTCCCCCCGTTGCTTCCCCCACTGCTCCCCTCGCTGCTCCCCCCGCTGCTGCAGTCAGTGCAGTCGCTTCATTCTCGAGCCCCACGTCGTATCTAGCCAACCCTTTCGCCCTGCCCTTCTCCTCGCCCCTCTCCCTCGGGTTCTCCCCCAGTCTCGCGCCTGCCACACCCCTCACTGTCTCCAGCTCGCCCCTGGCTGACTCGGTTGACCCGGGTAGGGCCTGGTTTCAGCTCACTGAAGGGCGCAGGAAAGCAGATAGTACCAGTGAGAGCAGCGGCAGGAACAGCAGCAGCAGCAGCAGCAGTGGTGCCGGCAGTAGCAGTTTAGGCAGGAATGGTGGGGATCCAGTGGTGGGCAGTTACAGGGCTGTTGGTAGTGGGAGGGCCATTGGGAAGGCGACGCCAGCTGCTGCTGATACTGCTGCGCATCGTGACGAGAAAGGCTCTGGTTGCTGGAATGCTGTAGGCGTGGACCTGACTGGGTTTGGTGATGCGCTAAAGAGTGATGCGTTTAGATTAAGCAGCGGTGTGGGCGGCAGGGCGGGCGGCAGAGGGATGCGGGAAGCGTGGATGGCGGAGATGTGGGACGAGGATGTGCCGCCCGCTTTTGTGGATTGCATCACGCAGGAGATCATGGTTGACCCTGTTATCACCGCCGATGGCCATTCTTATGAGCGCTCGGCGATCGAGAAATGGCTAATGTGAGTGGGGGATTTAGGGCTGGTAGGGACGCCTGAGTGAGTGACAGTGTGTTTGTGACTGCATCACGCGACGGGCATTCGTACAAGCGCGCACGCGTGCGTGAGCACTACCCAAAACCCTAAATTCGAGGTGCTGCCTCCCTTGATGTCCGTTGTGCCTCAGTCTTAACCCCCTTGCTGTGTGTCCCCCATCCCTTCCCATCCCTCCCCACCCCTCCCCACCCGCCGCCAGGCATCATGACACGAGCCCCATGACAGGCAAGGTGCTGCCGCCCCCACATGCTGCTGCAGCGGCTATTGCTGGCCTATGCGCAGCAGACTCCACTGGGCTGTATCCGGGCCGTGCCGCCAGCGGTTGCACGGACCGAGGCAGGTGCACTGGGAGCGGTAAAGGGTGCAGCAGTGGCGGTGAAGGGGGGTGCAGCACGCATGGGATGGTTGACAAGACGCTGCGTCCTAACCACATCCTGCGCGGGCAGATCATTGAGTTCCAGGAGGCCATGGTTCAGCAGTGAGTGTTCAGAACCGCATGCGGCTTGATTCATGCATGCTTCATTCATGCATGCTTCATTCATGCATGCTTGTTTCATGCATGCTTGTTTCATGCATGCTTGTTTCATGCATGCTTGTTTCATGCATGCTTGTTTCATGCATGCTTGTTTCATGCATGCTTGTTTCATGCATGCTTGTTTCATGCATGCTTGTTTCATGCATGCTTGTTTCATGCATGCTTGTTTCATGCATGCTTGTTTCATGCATGCTTGTTTCATGCATGCTTGTTTCATGCATGCTTGTTTCATGCATGCTTGTTTCATGCATGCTTGTTTCATGCATGCTTGTTTCATGCATGCTTGTTTCATGCATGCTTGTTTCATGCATGCTTGTTTCATGCATGCTTGTTTCATGCATGCTTGTTTCATGCATGCTTGTTTCATGCATGCTTGTTTCATGCATGCTTGTTTCATGCATGCTTGTTTCATTCTCTGATTCATGCTCGGGGTGTCTCTTTTGTTTCGCATCCTGCGCGGTAGATAATTGAGTTCAAGGAGGCGATGATTCAGCAGTGAGTTGAGTTGTTCATAGAAAGTGGTTTTCTCAGGTTGTGGGGCTTCCAGTTTTGGAATAAGGGTTTCCAAATGATGAAGGCATGATAGTTTGCACCGAAATGAGGCTTTTCTCTATCTGTGGAGTGGGCTGTGTTCCCACCATCCCCGCTGCCTCCTCCTCTTGCTCCCCTCCCCCCTCCCCCTTCGGCCCCCGCTCACACCCACGTCAACCCTCGTGTTGTCTTGCCCTTATCCTGTTGGGTCTTTGCGGCATGGCGTTAATTGTCTGTCCCCTGTGCTTGTCTCTCCTTGACTATGGCAGTGCACGGGAACGCACAGCAGCGACTGCACCTGCGGGTGCTGTTGCAGCTGCATTCGAGTCGACTCTAGAGTCATTTTGAGTCGACTCAAAAGTCCTCTGCCTTCTGTGCTGCTCTTTCCTTTACTGGCAGGGCAAGGCAGCGGACCGCAGCGGCTGCACCTGCCGGTGCTGTTGCAGCTGCATTCGCAACCTAGGGTTATTGGTGCGGCACGATACAGGGATCGGAAGAAGCAACTGCAATCCAGAAGCACTTGTCATTGGATGGAAACATGGAATAGTTTAGGATGGCACTTGTACCGACAGTTGGCTTGGCTTGGCGGCATACTCTTGAGTGCTGGCTTTGCTGGCGCCATTCAAACAGGATCATTGGTGATTGCAGAAGATGCGATAGCAACTGCCGTCACAGCAGCAGCAGTAGCAGCAGCAGCAGCAGCAGCAGCAGTGGTGAGGCAGAGGGCTTATAGCAGCACCAAGCACGTTGCAGCAGTGAGCTGAATGGTACTAGCACTTGCATTAAAAATCAACGTTGTATTCCAATTTGCAACCTTCCGTATGTGTCCAATCCCCTGAAAGGCATCCTCTCCGCTTGCCACATTTGTTCTAGTCCAGAGCATGCATCATCAGTTCGTTCTATGTTATTGTATGGCGTATTGTCAAACATATATGTAAATGTTATTGTAGACTAGAAGGTGCGTACTCTTAGAGAGTACAACTCTTTAGCACAAATCCACACTATATCTCACATTCTACCCTATAGTAATATATACATATATGTTTGACACACCCTCTAGGCTAGATGAGGGGTGGTGAGTGCCGGGCAAGAGACACGCAACTCAGTGTGGCACTACTAGTCCAACCTCTGAGGCAAGGGTTCGAAGACCAGTCAGCTGGAGTACAAACTAAGCTAGAGTAACCCAGGGCGGCACTACTAGTCCAGCCACTGAAACAAGAGCCACAAGGCCAGTCAGGATAATATAAGAGGAAGTATACATCAGGGTCCTAGCAAATGGGAAACTACAGGAACTAGACCAAGCTGTACACAGTGCCGCTGATGATCTCTAGGCGCAAGCGTCTTCGTAAAGATATCAGCTGTGTTGCCACCAGAGGCCAAGTGTACTACGCGGGCCTGGAAGCGCTGCTGTACCTCGCGCAGGAGGAAGTACTGCAGCTGGATGTGCTTCGCTCTGCCCTCAAGTCGAGACTGCTGACACAGGAGGATCATGGCCCTGTTGTCAGCGTACAGGGCCGGGGCAGAGCTAGGCCGCTTACCTAAGTCTGTGAGCATGAAAGTCAGCCAGCGGAGCTCCTGTGCAGCCATGGCACCCGCGTAGACCTCAGCCTCACAGCTAGACTGGCCAACAGACGAAGAGCGAGTGGACCTCCATGAGATGGCACCTGCACCAAGGCTAAAGCAGTAGCCCTGGGAGGACATGAGCGTCTCAGCGTCGTCTGCCCACGAAGCGTCTGTGTGCCCTGTAAGGACCACTGGCCTGCTTCCTCCTAGCACTAGCCCCATGCCTAATGTACTTGCTAGATAACGCAAAACCCTCTTAGCGTCCGACCAGTGCTGCGGTCGCTGTCTGCCTGTCGCCATAAAGCGAGTCAGGATGCTGAGAGGGTATGCGAGATCTGGACGAGTGCAAGTCATCAGGTACATGAGGCAACCCACCAGCTCTGAGTATGCCTCACCTAGGCTCTACTGACTCCTCAGAGACAGGAACTGAAGAGTTTGTCATCTACTGGCGGAGGAGAACTGAAGATCGAACCTCTGAAGGACCTGGAGCACCAAGTGTGACTATGTGAGAGTGATGGTGCGCGCTGCTCTGTCCCTGGAGATCTGCAGGCCAAGGTAGTGGCGCAGCTCTCCTATGTCAGTGCAAGTATGTCTCCTCAGCAGCTCAACCTTCACGGAGGCCAGTGCGTCTCTGTCTGCAGTAGCAAAGGCCAGGTCGTCTATGTAGAGAAGGATGTAGAGCAGGAACTGGCCTGGACGAACGAAAAGCGAAGGGTCTGCAGAGGACGGGAAGAAGTGCAGGTCAACTAACGTAGCACAACAACTAGGTTCCTGGAGAACGAGGGGATGTGCAGGCCTGTAAGAGAGCTCGATGGAACCGCCGAACCGCGTCCCTGTCAACTAGGCCACCTTCGCCCAAAGCCTCACCAACGTCCTTGGCTCTGCGATCATGAACGACTACTGCTTGCTCGACATCCTCCTCAACACTGACGCCGGGAAGCCCCCAGAGCGCCCTGCCGATGTCTCTCGTGAACCTCCAGCCACACCTCACGCTCCCTCGAGACCGGCCCCCACCAAGCCCTCCCCACTGGTCTACACCGACGATCCTGATTACTGGGCCCGCGTGAAGCTCCAGTATGACAAGGACTTGGCGGAATACACTCTCCTCCAGCATGCTTATGACGCCGAAAAGGCCGCCCACGACGCTGCCAATGCTCTGCTTCGACGGCACAAGGAGTCCACTGCTAAGTATGCCGACGACTTCCGTGAGTACCGTCGTCGTCACTCTGCATGGAACATTGCTAACCGCAAATGCCTCGTTTTTCTCTCTGCATGTGTTCCTTCCTCTCTCAGACGTGAAATCACCCCTCCTCCTCTCCCGAGTTTTGGAAAGAGTTGTGCGCCACGTACGACCTCCAGGACACCAACTCTCTCCTTGCGCTCCACCGCGCTTTCCTCGACATCAACCTCGAGTCCTGCCCCAATGCGCTCTCCTTCATGCGTCGCCTCCTCACCACTACCACACGCCTTGCTGATTGCCGCTCTCCTCTTCTCGACTCCCTCATCGTCTGTTGCCTCCTCGATGGCCTCACGTCAATGTACGACTCTTGTCGAGTCGCATTCAACGAAGCCCACGCCAACTTTCCACCTGACTCCGCCACGGTAGCTGCCTGGATTCTGAAGACTGAAGCCGAGCTCCTCCGTCAATCTCCCTCGACAGCTCATGCTGCCAAGGCAAAAGGCGGACGTGGTGCTGGCCGCGGCAGCAGTTCGGCGGGACGCTCGGGCGTTGGCTGTGGTGGGGGGCGCAGTGGAGGGCGCGGGGGCAGCAGTGCATCCAACAGCACCATCGGCTTCTCTCCCTATCAGTATCTCATCCGCAACGGCCCTAGCAAGGGTAAGCGATGCCTCCAAACCACTCACGCCACCAACACGTGCTTCAAAGCTCTCACTGATGAGTGGCTTGACCGAGGCAACACTGGCACCCCCCCTCGTTGGTCCGCCATCACATCTCCTCCCACTCCCTTTGATGTCCACACCCTCCTTGCCTACCAGCCCTCCTCCACCTCTCTCCACCACATCCTTGCACAGCACCTCTCTCCCCAGATCCTCCACCAGGTCACACCCCTTCTTCCGTCTCCGCATCTGCAGCAAACCCAGCAGCCGCAGCAGCCATTGCAGCAGCATCCACAACAGCTCTTGCAGCAGCTCCTCTAGTAGCTGCAACAGTCTCAACAACCGCAACAGTCCCAGCAGCAGCCCTCCCCTCCCTCCGCCTGGAGCTCCGGTCTCTCCGCTCCCACTACACCTGTGCAGGCCTCAATTGGACCTCCTGGATTTACACCATTTCCCTTCGCTGGCATCATAAACCGTCTTAGCCATACTTCTCCTGCTATTCCTCCTATGTATCCCGAATCTATTAATGAGACCTCATTCAAGTACCCTGTGTCTCACCCCGCCCCTCATTCCACTGAGTTTGTCATTGACAGCGGCACCAGTGTCACTGTCCTTCGTGACGCTGGTACCCTCACCCCCTCCCTAACCCCTCCACCATCATTGGTGCCGATTCAACTTTCCCGGTCACCTCCCGTCAAACCTCCACTCTTCCCTGCCCCCTCTTCCCCTCAGGTTCAGTCACTGGCTTCCATGTCCCCTCCCTTCGCACCAACCTCGTCTCTCAATATGCATTTCAACGGGTCGGGGTCACCTCAATCTACCCCGGCCACGCCACCCACTTCATCGCCCCTGCTATCCTCCTCCATCACCGCCTAAGTCACCCCAATTTTGCCACCCTCCACAAGGTCGTCGCCTCCAGGCTCCTTAATGGCATTCCCTTCACTCTCCCTCCGCTCCCTCCCTCCCCAGCCCCTGCCTGCACCATCTGTGTCCAGAGCAAGCTCAAGAAGCTTCCTAATAAAAATCACCCTTCCTGCGCCCCAGAGCTCCTGGATCTTGTCCACATGGACCTCTGGGGCCCCAACCCCTCCCCCACCCGTCAAGGGCACCGCTACCTCCTCGTCTTGGTGGTCGATCGCTCCCGGTACACCTCGTTCTCCCTCCTTCGCACGAAGGCCGAGGCACCGGCCTTCATCATCGCCTGGGCTGAGCAGGCGAGCACCCACTGCGGTCGCTCCGTTCGCTGCTTCCATTCTGATGGCGACGGTGAATTCCTCAATCACCACCTCTCTTCCTATTTCTCCACCCATGGTATTCACCACACTTACACCCTCCCTCACTCCCCTGAGCAGAATGGCGTGGCAGAGGCTCGTGTTCGAGAAGTTACAAAGACCGCCCGATGTCTTCTCGTTCACGCCTCTTGCCCACCTTCTCCTTGAGGTTATGCCCTTCTCCACGCCGTCCTCCTCACTAACATGTATCCCCACCCTCTCCTCCCCTCCACCACCCCCACCGAGCTGTGGACGTCGACTAAACCCGATGTCTCCCCCCTGCGCGTCTGGGGTTCCAGGGCGTATGTGCTCATACACCCGGCCGACCGCTCACACTCAGCGGGAAAGCTCTCTTCCAAGAGTCTACCCTGCATCTTCCTCGGTCACAACACCTCCTCCCCTGACTACCTGTTCCTCCACCCCCCTTCAGGTCGCCTCATCCGTAGTCGGGATGCCGTCTTTGACGAATCCTCCCCGTACTACACCTCCCCTGCCTCACCCGACCCACTCACCACTCCCCCTCGCCCCCTCACCACCTCTGACACTATCACCCCCCCTCTCCTCCCCCCTCTCCCTCTTATTCCCCCACCCTCAGCACCCCCTCCCCCCGAATCCATTCCCTCCTCGTCCTCCTCAGGTGACATCCTTGATTCGGTGCTCCCCCCCACTTCCTCTCACTCCGCTTCCGCTCCTACCCCCCCCTTCTCCCCACCTCCCTCTCCTCCCCTCCCCCCTCTCCTCCCCCCCCCCTCACCTCCTCCTCCCCCACCTCCACCTCCCCAGGCATCTCCTCCTCTGGTCCTTCACCACCGTCCTCATACTCGGTCCATGGATCCCCTCTTTGGTCTGCCCTTAGCCCCTCCCTCCCCCAAGGCAACGTCCCACGCTCCAGCACCCGCCGCACCAGCTCCCGCCGCCGCACCAGTACCTGCCTCCATCGCCGTACCCGCAACGTTAAGATCAGCAGCAGCAGTCGTCCCGGACAAGCAGCTAAGCAGCTGAGTACCAGAATCGCAGTGTCGCAGCCTCCCCCCTCAGCAGCGCAGCATACTTGCAACGCCACCCTCCTTTCCTCCTCCTTTCTCTCTCCTCCTCCTTTGTGGCCACAGGCAGGCACTGACCTCAGCACTGGTCTGCCGCTAAGAGGGTTTTGCGTTATCTTGCAAGTACATAGGGCATGGGGTTAGTGCTTGGAGGGCGCAGGCCAGTGGTCCTTACTGGGCACACAGACGCTTCGTGGGCAGACGACGC